ATCTGAAAATACTTTGTAAACTGCTTTGCCTCATGACGCCTTGCATGTATTTCTCCACTATGAATGAATTGTAAAAAGTAAACTTTAGGCCAAAACCTTCTCTTAAAACTTTCATAAAACAACAACACCAGGCAACATATTCTTAACTATTTCATGTAATAACTTTCTGTAAGGGAGTTTTCAGAGGCATTAAACTCTTCAGACATCTTGTTCCTATCATCACCACATCTGAACAGTTTCATTATGCAGAAAGATTTCCCCTATAAGCTAGAAGGCTGGACTCCCCCTTGATGAAGAAAGGTAGGACCGAGGAACAGTGAGGAGATGGGGTGGGGTGCGGAGTGAAAACTTTGTCACAGCGAAAAGAAGGCAAAGATGAAAACATGTAGGACATTAGCATGGAACGTGTGGTCCTCCTCCCAAGTTTTTGTTTTTTCATAACCCCGTATACACTGCAGTGGAGTATTTCATGGTGTTTACAAAACACACAACATATGCCTTTGCTCTCTCTCTTAGTAAACTCAGAACTGATCCTGGGGTGTTTGCACCTCTATTTCATCAACTCCTGGTTGTGGATTTAACTGCTTGGTCTATAAGACCATCACTGACAGCATGAATAATACAGCCCCATCTCTGAGAGTCTGAGTTGAAAAGTGTCTCTCTCCATCTCCCCCACTCAGAATCAGTGACTGTGATGAACCCTCTAATGGTTACATTTATTAAAATTATACTAATTGTAATCATGCTTAATAATTAGCTTTACAGTGCATTATAATTGGGTTAGGCTACAAGATGGTTCTGCCGAGGTGCTATAATTTATTTGATTTAATTATTCAGAGAAGCCCAAATGGTTTGACATTTAATATCATAAAATCACCGAAGTATTAAAACTGAGATAGCCATTGTCTTTCGAGAAGGTCATTTGCTTCTCTCCATGAGATATATGATGATTATTTTCCAGTCTATTAAGCGCCTCTACTTAGCACAATTAGCTACTCGCACAAAGGTTAAAGAGAGCGACCCCCCGCCCCCCTTCACTGTGGTCACAGTGCATATTAATGAGCAGCTGCAGTGGAAGGCTAGTAGAGGGGCCTTATCAGAAGGAAGGAGAGGGAGAAAGAAACACAGAGAGAGAGACTAGCTCTGGCCGTTAGAATCAAACACAAAGTAAACACACAGTCCATCGTGTCTCACTCACTCCCTCCTCTCTTAAAATAATGATGACCTTGTTCTGTCCTGGGTTATTTTTCTCTCTGCAGGCCAATCCATGCTGTAGCGGTTAGCAGTCTCCCTTATAGCTGAGGTCTTTCTGTGCGAGTGGGGTGAGAGAGGGGCCTTCATGCCCTTTCGTGTGCACTTACACCATGTGCAGATGCTGTAAGTGCAAATAAGCAGAACAAAGAATGGAGCTGAGCCTCACACAAGGAGATCCACAACAGAGCAGACCACAAGCTGGAGGAAGGCTTTAACATGCAACAACAAATGGAGAGAGAATCCAGGAAATGCATCAAACTGCTTTCATCTGCACTCAGTTCAGTTGTGTTTTCAATAGCATTCCCGTCCAAATTCAAACCAGCTGCCAAATGATTTTTAAAAGCTGTTTAAAAAAGAATTGTTCTGACTAAACAGTTCAGAAGTTGAGGTGACTCAAGATGTTGTTTTCTGATATGCTGGACAGGGTTTGCTACAACAGCTAAGAAAACAGCATTCAGCATAACTTTCCTTATCTGTACGTGCCAAACCTTCACTTCAATGTATACTAATGAACCGACACACACTGGAAATACAACCTTCCCCGAAGGGTGACGTTATGTTCCCTATTTCACACAGCGACTCAGCCCCCACTCTGCTTCCCTGGACTAAGGGTTCAGGCTGCTTAATGACAGCCATTAGGAGAATGCAATCTGCAAAGGTTGGGAGTAAAGCAACAATTAACCCTCTCCCCAAGGGAGGCACATGGAGTGTGGCCCAGAGGGAGCTCCTCCGCTCCTCATAATCACAGCTCCTCTATGCCTTGTCCTTCTGCAGCCGGCCAGAGAAGCAGAACATGTCTAGAGAGCTGAACAGGAAACCCCAAAGCATTGCAGAACAGCATCCAGGCTTAGAGCTCACACCTACATAAAACACCAGAGAACAAAGAGGAAATAGTGTTGAGTCATACATTGAGAAACAAATAGTACAATGAAACCAGATGGGCAAGTCCACCTTGGAACTGATGTTTATGTAACAAGCATCTTCAAGTTCTGAATGTTCTGAGAATTAAATGCATGTTAATTTGCTTAATAATTAATAATTAATTAATTAATAATTAACTGAAAGTGTTGCTTTAAAAATAATAATGGCAGAGAAAAGTATTTTCTGACATTAGATTCTAAATGTAAACCTAATTCCAAAAACAGTAGGTAAAAGGCAAATAAAAACAGAAAGCAGCCAATTGTAAACTGTCTTTTATAGGAATTTCATTGAAAACAGAACAAAGAAGAGATATTTAATGTTTTACCTTATCGACTATTATTTTTCAGTTGGATATAAAGAAGCATTCATGAAAACCTCAGTCACCACTGAGAAAAATTATGTGAGCAAGTGGTTCAGCTGTTTAATAACAACATTTCTCAGCACACAATTGCAAGGAATTTAAGGATTTCACAACCTGCAGTCCATAACATTATTAAAAGATTCAAAGAGAAATCTCTGAGTGTAAATAGTAAGGCCAAAAACCTGGGCTCAGAAATACTTCAGAAAACCCCTGTGAACACAGTTCGTCGCTGCATCTACAAATGCAAGTTGAGACTACTATGTTAAGTGGAACCCGTATATCAACAACATTCAAAAACACTGCCGTCTTCTCTGGGCCAAAGCTCGCCTGGGATAGGCTGAAGCAAAGTGAAAACGTGCTGTGCGTCCACTTTTCAAATTCTTTTTGGAAATAATGGACATCGTGTTCTCTGAGCCACAAAAAGGAAAAGGACCGTTTCGAATGTTACCAACGCTCCAAAAGTTCAAGTTTAAAAGGCAGCATCTGTCATGGTATAGGGATGTGTTAGTGCCAAAAGCATGGGTAACTTGAATGTCTGTGAAAGCAGCATATGCATTTTTGAGCAACATTCTAGATAACGTCTTTTTCAGGGATGTCCCTGCTTGTTTCAGCAAGACAATGTCAAGCCACATTCAGCATGTGTTACAACAGTAAGGTTGTGTGCTAAGAGAGTGCGAGAGATCTGTCTCCCACTGAAAACATGTGGCACATTATGAAGCACAATATACAAAATTGCAGACCCCAGACTGTTGAGCAGCTGAAGTGTTATAGCAAGCAAATGTGAAAAAGAATCCTCAGTTCCAGCAAGATTACTGAACGTTGTAAAAAGAAAAAGTGATGTAACACAATGGTAAACATGCCCCTGGCCCAAATTGTGGAACATATTGCAAGCATCAAATTTAGAATAAGCATATATATACAAAAAAACAATGAAGTTAATTAGTTTCCAATTGAATGCAGGTCGAAAAGGACTTGCAAATCATTGCTGTTTGTTTTTGCTCACATTTTTCCTGCTGTTCCAACTTTTTTGGAATTGAGTTTGTACATAAACTTCATTAATCTTTTAATTCATTAAGGAAATTGCATTACATCTTCTCAGTTCTCAGAACAAAATGATGGGGGCTGCTGACAGGTCAGTGTTAATTAAATTTTTATCATGGCTTAACCATTTAAAATCCAAGCCTTATTTAATCCCAAGATGTATTATTCAGTAATTGCATGGACTACAAGGACTATTAATGTACTACAAAGCAAGTTTGTCTTAGGTGTAATAAGAGTTCTGACCTGCTGGTAATGACCTCCTGGCCATTTAAGGGGTTTGTTTAGTGGCGAAAACACAAAACATGTATAAAGTATATGAAGTATACAGTACTGTGGAAAAGTCGGAGACCACTCTTCATTTATCTAATTTCTAGTCAAAAGAGCCATTATGTACAAGCTATTCTTTTTTTCAGGAGAGATTTCTGAGGATTTTAGATACAAGATTATCCAGAGGAGGTGTGGAAAAATATCCCTGCAGATTTTCTTGAAAAAACTGAAAGCAAGCATTCCCAAAATCTTGTTGAAAACCTTGGTATTGTATTCAGTTGTTCCTGATGATGAAAAATGTGTACTTAATGGCCGTTTTAACTGTAAATTGAATAAATGAAGGGTGGTCTCTGACTTCTGCACAGTACTGTATATTGTTTCTTAGGAAACCATTACCCTGTGAATAGTTATCTATGTTTGAGATGACTGTGAGGTTTTAGTAATCAGTATTTGTTATTTTTCAATTCTATAACGTGGATGTGGGAGGCTCAAAAATGTAAGTAGCACAGTAAACTGTGGTTAGTTAATGATGGGAGTGAGGTTGCCTGTGGTGTCAATCCATGCTTGTGGTAATGTTATTTAAAACAGCACTGTTTAGGCTTGCACAGCGCAGACAGGTTGTCTGAGAGAGGATATTAAATCCCAGACGAAAAAATATTTTCATGAAGCTTAGTGCCACACTGCGCAAAATAGCTATGGTTTAGCATATACAGCAAATATGTCACTCTCTACAAAATGTTTTTACAATTACAGAGTACATGCTTGTGGGAAAGAGAAGGTTGTTTTGGGCCAGTTCACTATAGAATTAATACTTCTGGCCTTTTGGTTTGGTGAAAATGGGAGACTGGGAGGTGGCATTTCATGCTTCCATGTTTACAGGACATATCTTTGTAAGGACTGTTGTAGCAGCAAATGTAAAAGTACTGCATGTGAAAGGATCCAGTTTAGCACATTGCTGTTGCAGCTAAGTGGGTCAGAGATTTTATGAATATCTATGACAAAAGTGCTTGCTTTACATTTCTGTAAACCAAAATCCAGACCAGTGCCTTTTCTGGTATCTGTAGGGAACTCCCACTCTAACTGGCTCGGGAAGGTTGATTCAGCCCTTCTGTTTCCTACGATTCCAAGAAAAGAGTGGGGACAGCAAGACCACAGAAACTGTAAACATTTTTTATTCATATTCAATTACAGATTAAAAGGCTGCCAATACAAATCAACATAATTACCGTGAGACAAAAGCAAACCTGCCTTCAAGGAAATATGTAAAATGTAGATTGTATTCACATACATTTACACAACAAAGACCTTTCAAAACAGTAGTTTATGATTCCATCAAACTGGATTCTAGTAGAGAACTGTAAGCAGAAGCCTGCTGCTCACTGAAAGACATATGCCCATACAACAAGAAAACATGAGCTAACTAAACACCATAGGGGAAATAGGAGTGTAGAAGAAAAACACTATCTACAGCTAGGATAATGCATGGATTGCAGACAGCTGGCCTAGAAACTCCAGCAGGCCAATGTTTCTAAAATAAACATGGCTCGGCTTTGGGATCATCCAAGGAGATGAAACCTACTCTACAATAAAAGTGATCTGCAGTGTGGCTCAGACTGGAAAAAAAACTCGCAGCATCTTTCGTTTCTTAAATAAGCAGTGTCCTGTTTCTGGCTCGGACCAGAACATCTCATCAAGTCCAAGAAAGTATGTGTCATCCCTCAAGCCCAGCAGGCTGTGTACGGGTTTGTGGAGTCAGCAGCGGTGCAGGGAACAGGGGGATGGGCTGCTGCTGGGCTGCAGTCCCGGCTGAACGGTGTGTGGGCTGTGATCGATGCTCAGTTGACCGCTTTTAGCCCTCACAAGTCCAGCTGAACACTCTGCCCCAGGCATCACCTACCAGCAGTGTGCCATGAGTCCTGCACACACACAGACAGAGGGAGAGAGACTGTGTATAGGATTTCATTAACCCTTTAACACTCAGGCTTCCTTTACTCATGTCTACACTTTAAATCCACATGTTTACATTTTAAACAGTTTCCAGGAACACTTATAAATGTGTCACAGTGTTGAGCTGTCCTCTTGTTTGAGAACAAATTAGGGAAAGTTTAACTGTAACATCAAATAAACATGGCTGTTTAAAACTGGAACACCATGAAATAAGTCTTGTCTTTAACATGTTTGTTTGATGCTGCAGTCAAGCTTTACCCAGTTTATTCTCAAATAGGGGAACAGCTCAACTAAACACTTTAGCACAAGTTTAAAAAGTGTTTACCGTGTATAATCATTTTCATTTTCCAAATTGTTTATGAATAAAAATACTTTTGAATGTTGACATGCAAATGCGCCGAAGGCTGGCTTTACACTATGGAACTTTCATGCTGGTTGCATGACTGGTTGCAACATAGTTTCTGTGCAACTTGACAGTGAAACAATTCAAAAACAATAAAACATAATCACTCCACTAGTTAGACAAATTAGAAGCTTGTATTTTTTGATACATTGTATTGTTCTTGCTAGTTAAAGTGAACTGCAAAGTTTACAAACAATGTTGCATTTATATGTTTGCAGCGTTTTTGTTATCTTCATATTTTTTCTAAGCTGTCATTGCCATTTTGTTCTTTATCTATATAGCTAAAGAAGAAGAAATGCTAATACAAGCAGCCATTTATACAGCTGTTACTGTTAGCTGGCTAGTTAAGGCAGCTGATGACAGAAACGTTAGCTTTGTTGTCATAGTTTAGGAAATGGAAAAAATAAAAAGCGGTTTAACCGTCCGATAAAATATCTTCTGTTATATTTTCTAGTCCACTGATCCACTGTGATCAACTGTTTAATAGCATGTTGTTTGACTTGATCACATGATCTGTTACTGTCTTTTTGACTGGCTGTTTTATGAAACTTATTTCACAAAGTTGAGCTGCTTGCAACTGTTGTGGCTGAGTTTCAAATGAGTTGCAGGACGCTATATAGAAAACTCAAGTTCGGGTTTAGTTTCATGTAGGTTTCAAGTAACTACAGTTGCATGAATTCTTCACAGTGTAAAACCAGACTAAAGGCTTAATGAGTAGTGGCTATTCATGCAATGAGATCGCTAAAGATCCAGTGAAATTCTCAAAAAAAAACAACTTTATTAAATCAGGCTCCAAACATCAGGCTTTTATGTCTGGAAGAGACTGGCCTGTCAGCCATACCTGGATATGGCCAGTGCAGAGACAGCAGGGTTGTTCTTGTATCGGCGGCGGGAAATGGCTTGACTCCGGTTCAGCTCTCGACACAGGACCAGGTGTCTCTCCCACCTCATGCGGCTGTGCTCTGAGAGAAGCACACAACAAGCAGAAGAGTGAGAAACGAGCCGCTGCTTTTATTAATGGTCAGCATGTTGTTAAATTGAGAAAAATACATCTAATATAAAGCCTTCACTGTTACAAAGAGTTCCCCCAATTTAATTTGTGCATTGTGATACTTATATGCTCTGACGCTGTGCTGTAACCAATGTGCACCAAATTGGATTTGGGTATTATTGCTTTCTAAATTGCATGCCTACATCAGCGAAATTGCTCATCAGTGTTTACCGGCTGTATGTTTAATAACTTTGCCCCATAATTCCTTGCAGCTAGCCCTAATGCCTTGCACAAACAGTGCACAATTATGAACTTTTCTCTGGATCCCTTCGAGTCAAACTTCCGGCTCAGTGTCTCAGCCATGACACTTAAGAGTAGATACAGTATAACTGGATTTACAAGCAACGTTTTTGAAAGACGCCCTGTGTTAGATTCCTATTTCATTTCACACATTACACGGATATTAAAAATAGCCACTTTTATCATATCACAGTGTTGTTTTTTCCCAGTACTACAAGAAAATTTTTGTTATATTGTTTTCATGGACCTCTGCATTAGATGCATTAGAGAAGCTCATGGTTGAAATGGTCTTATAACCAGCCAATCTAATCCAGCACAGCCAGAGGCAACTAAAGACTGAAGAAATTCCAGGCTCTTGTTCAATGCCGCTGTTAAGGTGAAGTGTATTAGTGTTACCTGTGTCTTCAGCAGACGGGGATACAGCGTGCCCCAGAGACTCTGAATGCTCCTTGTGTCCAGGTAATTGTACCTTTGTATATGCAGTCTTCCATATCTGCAAGAGAGTCACACGGCTAATGAAGAAAAAAAAAATCAAACGCAATAGAGGCTATAATCATAAATCAAATCTGTGGGCCATTGATGTAGCACAGGTCCATGCTCCAATTTGATGCCTAATTTAGAAACCATTTTGATTTAATAACTGCTCTTAGCTCATCTAAAGTGAGCATATGTTACTCCCACTGCTTCCTTGGGACTCCATATCACAGCCCGTGAGGCCTTTTTCAATACCATAGTCATCATATTTGAATATTTTGCAGCAGTATTACCTGACTATTAAAAAGAAGAAGAGGAAGAACAGGAAAGATTTATTACCTACACAGAGAAGTTACTTGTTGGAGAACTATGCTCATTTAAAAACTCATGATAGGGTCTAATAATCAATAATGCCTAAAGCAGAAAAGTCCACAGCTTCTATAGATCTGCAGAGCTCTCACCCTGACGACGCCGTCCGCACAGCCGGTGATGATGACGTTGCGCGAGTCCCACTCGTACTTCTGTGTGAAGCAGCAGCACTGGATGCTGCCCTCTGGACCATATGGGGTGTTTACAGAGGCTAGCAGCTGACCCTTCATTGTCCACAGGTACAGATGTGTCCCTGAACATGACACAATCTCACCCTGAGATAAAAAAAAGGCAGAGAGAAAGGCGTTAACGAAAAATATATATATATATTAGGAGTGCACCAATAATGTAATTTCTGTCAAGATTATGATAATCGATAATTACCACCATACTGGGACTGATACCAATAATCAATCATTTTATTTTTTTGCCAAAAACGTGAGACCCTAGCAGATACTTTTATCCAGAGAAACTTACAGTTGTATCCAAAAGTTTGGGCGTCCCTGGTCAAATTACATGTTTTGTGGATTTTCTAAGTGGAAATAAGAACACATCCTCTACAGAGAACACACTTAAATGCACAATTATAATGCTCTATTAATGTATAGTACTGTATAGTAATGTATTGTAGATTTTAACATATTGGGGAGAATTTTAAACACATATTGGGAATGTTAAACTCAGAAAATAGAAATTGTGTGCTAAAAGTTCACAAAAATTACACATTAATGCCTGTTGAAGATGTATGAACTTATTTTCATTTAGAAAATCAACAAAACATTTAGTTTGACTAAGGGTGTTCAAACATTTGCATATGACTTTACAATGTAATTAATAGAATTTATGGTCTTTCTGTCTGGACAAACTACCAGTTTCCCACGTGCAGGGCTGTGGGCTTCAGTGGGTGTGCCATGTCATTGGTTGTAATTATGGGACAAAAAAAAATTCAATATTGGACCTATAATGATAATTCAATTTTACACTGACCACTAGTAAATCATGCACCCCTACCAAAAATATGCGTCAGGCTTTGAAAAGTTTAGACGTGACCAATTCTTACTACCCTCAAAGGGGAATGTAATTAGTATATGGATGCTGAAGAGGAAGTGATCTGAAAGTGCCTATAATTCATGTAAGGATCACATTTCAATACAATGTCGGGAATTCATTTCCTCTGTTCCAGACGTGAACCAGACAGAGAAGTGTGAGAGCTTCGGCTCCAGTGTGGAGGGAAGGATGTGCCCTCCCCTTCCTCACCGTGCTGGAAGGTTCTGGAATACCCCCAGCCTGTCTGTGTGACCTAGAGCACAGACAGTACAACTCCAATCACTCAGCACACTGAGAGCTACCCAGCAGTGTGTGCTCACCGCAGTGCTCTATTACAGAAGATAAGCAGCTAAAGATGTACCAGAACAGTAGAGTACAGACACACTATGTTGGAGTGAGAGGATGTAGAGGCAGGTGGGAAACTACAATGAAGAAGCTGCAAATTGCACGTGTGTAAACTCACAGTCAGATCATTGATGGCCAGGGCAGACACACCAGAGGAGTGTGTAGGTAGCTGTGTGATGTAGCTGAGCTCCTCTAGGTCCCATAAAATGCATGTCTGGTCCTGAGAGCCACTGATTATCACACTGTGCGCCTCTGACGCTACCACACAGGTGACTGTATCTGTGTGTCCGTACAATGCCTGTGAACATGATTAAAACACACTGTCAGAATAAAAACCTACAATTTCATTTTTACTCAATTTTTCTCCACTATTTGTCAAAGCCAGTTTACACTGTCTAACCGGGTCCACCGTTGCACGATGCTACAGACTCCAAAAAACATGAAGCCAGCCACTGCATCTTTTCGAACTGCCCCTAACGCAACCTCACTGGACAGCTTAACATGCATGTAGGAAAACACTAACTTCAGCTAGCATACACCCATGTTGTCCTGCATCATACTGAGTGATGAGGGAAGAGGGAGGGCGATCCTCCACCCAGAGAAAGTGAGGTCAATTTTGTTCTTGTGATGGTTACATGTTTGCGCCATTTGGGAGAGCTGGAAAAACTTAATTTCTGTTAATGCTACTTGAAAAACCTGAAAGCTTTGTCAAAATTTCTACTAGTTCATAAATACCGAACTTTTCACACAATATATACATATATATTTTTTAAATAAAGGTGCCAAAAGGTATATTTGGACAAACAGCCATTATGACCACTATGGATAGTAATTTAGACGACTGTCCTTGTACTTAATCGAAAAAAGGCAGATGCTATTTACTCTAAGCATAAATAGAAGTATGTTGCTATGTACACTTACATTCAGTCTTCATAACATCACGTTATCTACACTTATGTGTGTTATTTTATAATTTAACATGTTAATCAAAAATATTCTGGAATTAAAAATAGTAACCCTAACCACATTTACCAACTGTTGCACTTGTCACTGTCCTGTTGGTTTAATTTCCTTTGGCTAAAAGCAAAAACTATTTAAATGCTAAAAACTAGTTGAATTCATAATACTACTTTTCATCATTTCTTAGACTCAACAGATATTTGCACAATGATGTGTCTGACCTGTTTGAGTTTCATGTGCTTGAGTTTGTCCTTAATGATGGACACATCCCACACACACACCACCGAGCTGCTTCCAGCTGTGATGAGGGTGTTGCTGTTGGGACAGGCAGCACACACAGCCTCGCCCCAGTCTGATAGACCTTCCCACACTGCAAAGTCCTGATACACAGAACACAAGCCATAATTTAACACATACTTCAAAAAAGTCAGTGAGAGAATGAATGAGTAAGTCAGTAAATGACTGAATGACTGGATGAATGTAACATATAAACACCTTCTCTGTTGTGTAATTCCCAAATGAGCATGTGTTGTCATAAAAACCCCAGCAGAAGTATGTATTCCAGAGCGGAGGCATAAGCAACTTGTTCTTCTCCACGACCAACATGTCTTTCTCTCCACAAACAATCTGACCAACCGGTCCATGCATCAGCTCTGGGTGGATCCACAGAGAGGCAGCATTATTTTCACAGCAGCTCAGCATTACAGTAAATGGCAGATTATGTAATCAAAGCGTCTCTTGACATCTACACTCCAGCCTGTACTCACTTTCTATTGCATTTTTGAATCAAATAAATTGTCGGCTGCATTACATGATTAAAAAAACATCAAAGATATAACTGACCAAATATTGCAATTGGAAATTGCTGTAGTGCAATACAGTGGTTTTTCCTTGTGGATCACATTGATGACAAAGTGAAATGTAGGATGAAATAGAGAAAGGAGGAAAGAGAGTTATAGAGTTTGAGACAGAGAGAGCGAGCGAGAAAGAGAGAGAGAGAGTGAGAGAGAGAGAGAGAGAGAGAAAGAATTTTCATCTCATTTTCCAAAGAGACCCTTTTGGGATATTGAGATTATTAAATAAGCCTCAGTGGCAGCATCATCAAGATGCGCCTAACAAATAGAATGAGCTGCTGCCCCTCTGCCTGAGAAAATTAGCCCATGAACAGTCTAGCCAGCATCTTCACTGAAGCTCCTATTGTTCCCAGCGGACATGGCCCCATCTTGTAAAAAAATAATTGAGGATGGGATAAAATAATAAGGTGGCTAAGAATGATTAAATGAGGGTATTTCTCAACCACACTTCCGCATAATTTCTTCTTGAAGTCTCGGCCTGCGCGAGGAGCTCTGTACCTTTTACGGGCTGGGCCGAGGGCTTCAGTTTGTCCAGTCTGAAGAAAAACGGAGTGATGTGATTGGCTCCAGATGACTCTTTGCTTATAGAGCTCTTGTGTGCAGCGCGGCTGGGGTGAGGCTTGGTGAAGAGCTGCCAAACAAACATTTATTATCTTAATGACTGTTCCGTTTATCTAAAGGATTTACCCACTGAAATTCTGACGGGCTGATTATTGTTGTTAACTCCAGCACTTCAAACTGATGTTATACTTATGGCTTCTTTCCCCAAACACAGACTAAAATATAATAATCAAACATAATTCAGGACTAAAAATTATTAATAAAATTACATATAAAATTCATACACGGGAAAGAACTTTCAACGACAGTATTTTAGTCCATGAACTAATTTATAAATCTTGTACAGTTTATAGTAAGCAACACTCTGCTTTGGGTTATTATTATTGAGTGCTTGAGCATGTATGTGTGAGTGTGATGTCTGTTCCTCTTGGTTTAGTACTTCAAGTGTGCTAAAAGCAGGTTGTGTTACTGAGCACCTGTCTGGGGATTTGACCAAAGTTGCTGACGTAGCCGAGGACAGTGTTTTTCTTCAGTGGGTTCTTCATGCTCTCTGTGTCGTGCTTGTCTGTGTAGAAGTAGGGGTGGAAGGTGTTGAGGGCCTCCACTGCGGCCGGACCCTGCTGTTTGTAGCCAAAGATCAGATCAATCCACAAGTGCAGGTTTGCACTCACATAATCACTCTCCAGAGCCTGGGGAAAGGCCACACAAAGTCAATGACCACATCTAGGAGCCTGGAAACTAACGCAAAGCCAAAATAGAACTATTTTCCCAATTATGCAGTAATAGCTTTAGCTGACAAATGCTAGGGACTTTAAATGCGAAACAAAATTCTGCTTGCACAGGCAACATTTTAATGCTTGTGTGATTATAAAGGCAAGAAAAAATATTATTGCACTTGAAACTGGGATAACATTAAAAACACCCGATCCTCAAGATCATAAGAAAAGTTCAAGGCTAAAGATCTTTTTTTTGTTGGTGTTTATATTTGTCTTCTTTCTTGTTCGATGAAACTTTGCTGAAGAGGGCATGAGGGCTAAAGCAGTCCTAATAAGACTATTCTTAATATGGGGGAAACAAGCCAAGCAATAGTAAACGAATATATCAACAGCAGTGGAGGGTCCCTATATTGTCTTTAGTTCATTTGCATATGAAGGAGAATGAGAGGACAAAATAGCTCATTTTGTGTGAACTGGAAACGATACAAATATTGCTCAGTAGATTGGGAACTGATAAAGCCTGGCCCTTATATGCCTGCAGGCATAGCATGGTGAAAAAGAAAGCATTCATTCCAATAAGCAGCAGGCTACAGTAATGGAGTTATGAGAGAGTGCAGATATTGTGCTTGTGCTGAATTGGCCCTGTTATCATGTAATGACAATGGCGTTAAGTAGAGTAATGGGGCTTTCTTGATGAACTCAACAAGTGCCTATTATCTCCACAACAGCACAAACTAGAGCTGAGCCAAAAGCATTTAACTCTTTCCAAATGCATCCAGCAGCATACAAATGCCAAAAGGTGTTTATACAGAATAGAAATGCCATGGTGATTTTATTTTTGTTATACGCAGTGTGTTCAGGACTATGGCTGTGGTGACAGCCTCTATCAGGGGGAAGAGCAGAATGGGAGATGGTACTGTGGTGCAGAAGCTGCTGATGTTGTGAAACTGGCTTGACAGTCATTAACTAACTGAAAATGCTGAGATGGATTACTGACTTCTCTGTGAATCCGGATGAACTCCTGTGGGTCTCCTTTGGCCCATGGTGGCAAAACCACATCACCCAGAGAGGTTCCGTCCTGCATGCAGCCTGTAATCGCAAGCAAATAAAAACAATATAGCGTCCAATAAAATAAAGTGTATTTAACTTGAAATGCAACTACCACCAAAGACATGCTTATGTGCTACATGTGTGTTTCCCAAACTGGTCCTCAGGGCCAACCAGACCAGTTACAGTTTTCCTTCAACCTTATGTGTTGTAAGTTTGGTTGGAGCAAAAATGTGGAGCCTTTGAGGGGCCCTGCGGACCGGGTTAGAAAACCCTGCACTATATTATCTGATCTTTCACACAGACAGAAATTATCTAGAATGTGCATGATTTATTTTATTTAATTCATCTATTTGTTTGCCACTAAGCTACTTATCTAAAGACCAAAGTCAAAGTCTCACCAAACTCAAAGTTATTGGAGTTGACAAGGAAGTCTGGCAGGTAGTAAAATTCTGGAATGAGCTCTCTCACATCACTCATGTTGTCTCTAGAGGCCGATTCCCACTCTTTCTGCATGCTGTGGAACATTCTCTCAGGAACATCAAACGATCCGCCCTGCATATTCCCGTAACAACAATGACAGAAACACAACAGTCATTTACAGGCAATGTAAGAAAAAACAAGCCAAGTTAACCGAATCAATCATTTTAAACCTTAATCAAGGCCATCATGGTGGAGGAAAAACAACACTGCATCTCCCAGTGACAGCACTACAGTATATTGTTATTTACTTGCTATAGCTTAGTTGAGGTTGCTGCTTCAAAGCAAGGTGTCTAGAGAGAGACAGTCCAGAATCAATTCATCAGAATTGACTGAGGCTTTTTCCATGGGTTTAATTCCTGATGGAAATCTCCGGAAAACGTATGTAATTTGCAGTAAAAAGATTACCCTCATTGAATGAAAGTAATAAATACTGTACATAGCAAATGCAGTTAGTGCCCCAAATCTTGTTATGAATATTACTGTACAGAGGAAAGCTGTTCATGTGTGGAAAATATCATTGTGAAGCGTCATCCTAATATTTGTATTGTGTTATACAGAATATTAAATATGCATGACATTTTATTTTAATCAATTGGTTCCTACTCTATAAATAAGATATTTTTAAAGAACAAAACGTGGCTTTGCACATCACTGATGCCAGAGAATTTATTTGCATATATATTAAAATTCTCACTTTAATTCACTTTTGCAAAAACAAAACAGTTCTTGCAAATCCCAACAAGGCAAAAAATAATGGAACTCCTTTCATTTAGTAAGCTTATTTGCAAAATTGCATTTTGTAGAAGACGTACTGACACACTGTGTTTTTTTAAACAGTGAAGCTCCGGATTTTTGCATCATTTAAGAATGAAACAATACGCTCAGTACCATATTATTTGACAACCAGAATGTCAGGAAGTCATTTTTCAGTGTGTATGCAGCAGAGTTTTACCTGCAGAGAGAGGAAAGTCTGGGAGAAAGGCTCCATCCTCACCAGGTAGGATGCCACTATGATGGCTGAGGAATAGTGTGTGCAATAATGACACTGTGCAGAAAGATCACCTGTAACAGTGATAAGCAGCTCCTTACAGCATGAACAGCATAAATTCCTGCATGAACGTTAATTATTTTTATAAGCTTGTAATGAAAGTGAATTGTAGTCTTACCATCATTACTCTCTACTTCATTATATCGCTGAATGAATTTCTCTCTCCTTTTTTCAGTCTGTGCACCCACTGGTTTGGACAGATCCCTGAATGTTGTAGGGGATGACAAATCCAGTGTCTAACAAGCAAGGAGGGTAGTAAAAAGATTAAACTCAGTGATAACGTAAGGCTGGCCCAGGTAAAGTAATCTATCAGTATAATCTCTTCCAAAGAAAATTGATGAACAGACAGTTAGCAGTAATGCACCGATCTGATATGCTCGATAAGCACCAGTACTAACTGCATTAAACGGATCAGATATTGGCCATTTCAACATTTGATAGTTTCTTAGTAATGTTTATATTAAAATTGTTAAACAATATAACTGAAAACTGTACAATACCATATATACACACACACACACATATTTAATATATATATATTTAATATATATATATATATATATATATATATATATATATATATACACACACACACATATATATGTGTGTACATACACATGAACTGTGCAAAAGTCAGAGACCACCCTTCGTTTATTTAGTTAATTTAACTATACTATGTACTATGTACTGTAACTGTACTATGGCCAATCAAAATGATTGTGCCCTCCGTCAAACACTGCCTTATTTTTTATCAGTCTATGTTATCCATCATTGCCTCAAGCCTTCAGTTCTGCAGTTTAGCAATGACACTACACAAGCAGCAGTTACTGATTTTCGGCTGACCTCAGAACAGCTGTAGTCTGGCCATAGACTGAACTGCCTGCTATGTTTATCTAGATGACCTAGACTTTTTGAGATGTTGTGGAATATCACGTAATATAATTCAAAAATCAACAAACATGCTGTATTTTGTCTCATTAACTGTATGTGTAGCCCTACTTTCTTGTTAGTTGGAGTTTATGAAAGACAGCCTTTTATAATGTATTTGTAACATATGCTTTTTTAGTAGTCAGTGAGGACCGAGAAAAGAGAGTGAGAAGAGACAAGCAGAGAGAGAAAAGAAATCAACTAAATTTGAAACTATCACCTGATTTCAAATAAATATGTTTTGACATGAATTTTCAGCTGAAAAAAGTCAAAACTGTTGATGGAACAGTAAATGCAGTTTATGGAAAAATAGCAGGGTGGCAAAGGAACAAATGAAAGGAAAAGGTACACAATTACAAAGGAGTAAAAATCAGCAATAATTTGTTTTAAAAAAAGAAACGGTAGTTGGTGTAATATGCATATTAGAAAATTTGTTTATTCACTTTGTGATGTGGTTCATTTTCAGCAAAATTGACCTCACTATATAGAAACTAGACAGACAGACAGACAGACAGACAGACAGATAGATAGATAGATAGATAGATAGATAAGATCACCTCTGATTCATAATCAGCAAGGACCCATGGAAACACTGGATACTGCATCAAATCATTGTATGTCCTTCCAGCTAGCGTGTTCAAATGCATGAGGTATTCAAAGTTGCTCATTTCTCCTCTCTGTTAAAAAATGAAGATAAAGACAGTTGATGCACTGCAGTAACACAAAACAGAAGAATGCAATGCAATAATGTACAAGTCCTAGTAATGTCCATGTGCAATTCACAGAGGAAAATGGTCTGAGAAACAGCCAGTGTGTTTTAGAAAAGCTGCATACACACATTACCTGCCATTTAATAAGAGCTGTCTTCTCTGGTGCTGCTGTCCTTCTGTACCAGAGCAAAAACAATCAACAGGTTAAATATACAAGACAATATAACAGAAGCATTTTAAATGCATGCAAAGCAGAGAATCACAACCTCACTTTAGAACAATCAAAAGAATTCTGTGCTCAGAACATTTGGAATTTGGCTGTAATGAGTGACATAATAAGAATCTTATTGTGGTTGCATGGCAACAGGGCCCAGAACAGCAAGGTGTGGAGGGATCTGTGTTAAGGAGCTTTTATCCCTGAGCACAGAGAGGAAACTCAGCATGCGTTTATGCTCTGGGAAAGGTAAGCGTTCACACGTTCAACAGAATTCTAGCCTGAAGCAGCAAATGGTGCCATCTATGGGTTTTTCCCAAAACAGTCAACTGGTAAGAGTTCATGAAGAAATGTACTGCCATTAATCCTCAACAGTTTTGCAATAATGTAGTAACTCCATCAAATGCAGAATAAAGTTTATATAAATTAGAGGTGTCTGGTTATTTTTACACCTTTTCTGAATGCCCTAAAATAGGAGCTTCAGCGCATATGAAGACTGAGGATTCTTCACACACGTATGCAGGTAAGCCATGTCTACAGAATAATAGCAGGTAAGTTAAATAAGACAGCTTTTACAGCTTAAACAATTTATACAAAAATATTTTGCACTACCTGTAGATAATTTAAGAACTCAGCACAATCATAGTCTGATGAAAACGACATTTTACTCATCAGTTTAAATACTATGCTGGGATTCTAATGTAAGTAAATTTCAGAAGCATACAAATGCAAATTGCCACAGTTCCTTTTCTTTTTTTTTTGTTTTGGGGGAGGTCCAGTCAAAGGACAATAAATGCTCTACACCTCAGGCATGTGTTGCTTAGCAACAAAGTTAAAACAGGACAAAGCTTCTTTAGCCTTCCCTGACATGGCTGAGTGAAGAGGCCGTTTCAGTTTGTCTGAAGTTTGTCTAAAGATTCTCTGCTTACTAACTGAGCTGGAAATATGAAGTCTATTTAAAACTTGGGAGTGAAGTGAACTTATCGAAGAATTCCTACTTTGAAACAGGGGTGAAAGAATCCTGGACAAGAATGGCTGTCTTACATTGATACGAACAAGGACTAACCTCACTGACCACACCGCAATACTGATCATTTATACGCAACCGCCATAGGAAGTCGGTAAGTATAATGTCAAATATGATATGCTAAATGATATGATCTGCAGTTCTGAATGACAACTAACTGGTTTTAGGTTTGATATAATGTAAATACAAGACAAGAAACTAGATGCTTCTTCATTTGCGATATTTTAGCAATCACAGTCAGATCTTCGACAAGAGTGAGCCATTTATTCTATTTATAGACCAAAATGTCAAGAAAAGTGAAAAGGAGAGAAACATTATACAGTACAACCATTGCCATTTAGATTTCTGAAGTAAAATGTCATTATAATATTTTATGACTAAAACATATAATTTATCAGCATTTCAGTAGTACTGAAGGTATATTTCATGGTATATTTTGGGGCATTTCTTAACCCCCTGCAGCTAGCTTACCACAAATAATGTGCTTTAAAATGCTGTAAAGAGAACTATTACCTATTACATTCTATACATCACAAAAGTATGTATTCATATAAATGAAACAAGGTGTTCAGTTTGGGTGAATTCTCAAATCTTTTAAAAAGAACACACGATCCTATTGGTCAGTCAACTCTCTATAATTGCACATGTTTGAAGGATTCACACACAAAAGTCTAATGGAAACAAGCTAAACCATATTAGCCTTGTATCTATATGCACTTGAATATGATTAATGAGTCGCGAAAGGGCCCGAAGGGCTTACAATGCAGCCACTCTTCTTTTTTAATAGGGAGGTGTGAGGTGGGCAGGTTTTAAATCACTTCCCCGAGTGTCATTTATCAAAGCACTGATTTGACTCCATCCACACAATCGCACAGCCTGTGAAAGCGCTCTGGATCAATCAGCTGTAACGCAAGCAGCTCCACACCCTCACCAGCAACAGTCATTTGTTTTTCCCGGAATTTACATTCATTGCTCTTGTCCTCATTGTTATCTGATATTAGCCTCAATTAGAGCGCAATATGATCTTAAGAGATCCCTTTAGGGTGAGATGGGTGAGTGAGCTGGAGTATAAACATTACACCCTCCTCATTCCCCAAAAGACCTTACATTTTCCCCTGAAGTGCCTCAGGGCCTACACGATAGCACCACTCCTATGTAAATAACCGAATTGTTGTCATTAAGTTGTGCATGTTTAGTTAAAGATATTAGGTCCAGAGATAATAATTACACAGATCAAGTTAAGACTCAATCAGGTTGACACCAGTGCGAAAAAGGCTTAACCATTAATCTGTGTTCTCACAGCACCATGGCGAAGGGGAAGAAGGGTGGACCAAAGGGCAAAAAGATCACCCTTAAAATGGCCAGGAATGCCCTCAGGATGACTCCTGATGGAAAACGGCGGCTAGATCTGAGCAACATGGGAATCGATTCTTTCCCTAAATGCCTTTTGAAACTGACCGATGTGGAAGAGCTGGACCTGAGCCGCAATCAGCTGAAGAAGATACCAGAGTTCATTGGTCAGCTCACTAGTGTCCGCTGGTTGGACCTCCACAGCAACTATATCGAACAGCTGCCGAGGAGCATCGGACAGCTGGAGGCCCTGTGCCACCTCAACTTGTGCAACAACAGCCTGGGCTCTGCTGGCTTACCTGCTGATATAGGCAACCTGAGGAGCCTGCAAACACTCAACCTGGGTATGAACAGGCTGACCGCTCTCCCTCAGACCATGGCCGCTCTGACCAACCTGAGAGAGCTAGGCCTGTTTGATAACCTGCTCACTGCTATTCCTGAATGCATCAGAGTGCTACCCAACCTAAAGAAAATCAACACCACACGCAACCCCATAGCCTACGCTCAGGGAGACACCAAAGACGCCAAAGCGAGCGAGGGGATATATTTGGTCAGGGAGGGGGATCTGTGTAAGCTCTGCCTGGAGAAATGTAAGGAGGAGAGACAGAGATTGAAGCGGAAAAGACTTTCTGATCAGTCTCAGAGGAGGGGTAATTTCTCAGGGCTGATCACGCCAAACTCAGTGGCACAGAGCAATCAGGAGCTGTGGCGATAAACCCCCACCTTGCTTCTTGCTGCTCAAAAAAGGGGCCTGACCAACCTGATGAAGATAGCATTATCATTCAAATGGATTTTTAAATACAGAAAGTATATTAAGATGCAGTGCTTTAACATCTACTGAATTATTTTTCATGCAATAAAAATGCAAAAAACAAGCTGACTAGTTTTAAAATAAATAAATAAACTACAAACACGATCTGCAATCTGTACTGTTAACTAAACACCAGTATTAGCATTACTCTTACTACAATTGCAATTGTAGTAGAAAGTTATCATTACATTTGTTGAAAAATAATCTTGTTTGGTTTTGAATTTAACAAATTTACACTTATATCCCAGGGCAGCAGCAAAGATCAAGTATATTAGGGGCTCATTGTCTTGCAAAGTAAAATTGGAGGAAGTTTTGATGTCTGCAGGAATCAGTTACTGATCTGTTTCAGCATGTTGAATAAGGAACCGAGAGTCTTTCTGTCACTCATTTACAACGCTGCAATTCACATATTAGACAATGTATACAATGCGGTTCCCAGAAGCCTTTAGTCAGTAGCTGTCTCCTCAAAGTCTGTGTTTGGCTGTCAGTGTGCAGTAACTGCAGGGTCTCTGAGGGGACAGCTTGGGAAAAGATGATGGAGCTTTGAAACCACGGAAGCCCAGGGACACTTACCTGACATTATGCATAGCCTCTGTCACCCCTCTTCCCTTTAATGAAGGCACTACAGAGCACAACCTAGAGAGAAAAAAGAGAAAGATCAATCTGACTCTGCCCTGTCTAATCAAACCAACTCATCGATCAGCACTCGTATTCCTTGTTTTTACCGCTTAAAAGCCCCGACGTGGTCTTTGTTCGTGAACACCAGGAACACAGAAGACCCATTCTTTATGAAGATCTCAATGGCATTCTCCTACGTGAAACAGAAAAGCAAATGCTAATCTAATACAACCGAACAGCTTTGTATAGCATCAGTGTTCATGAAGAAAAGTAAAATATATATGTATAATAAATGTATAAATATATTATAAATTCATAAATGAGATGGCACTGATACAAAACCCACTATCAGTTTTGGGCTGATACCAGCAGAAAAAGCAGGATCAAATAATGGAGGATAAAAAAAAACAAGTGACAAGAAATTTTGTCTTTTAACAAATCTATGTGAATTTTCACAGTTTGTAGCGTAACTTTATGTAAAGCAAAATAAAACAGGTCAGATGATAACAGTAGCCTGCATGCAAAATGTAGCCTAACGTATAAACAATGAGTAGCTGGATAAGTATTCCAGCGAGGGGAAACAAGTATTCATACACTTCTGTTTTTGTTATTTAATATACTTCTTGTGCATATATCCACTTCAGATTTACACACACAAATTCTTTTGACATTGCACTTTTAGTTGCAAAGCAGGTAATCGTCTATGGTAAAAAGTAATTCACTTTTTACAGCACTGTGATTCAGTTTTGCCCACACCTCTTAGCAAACTGTCTTTAATTTCCCAAAGTTATGAGAGTCCCTGTATTAGACTCACAATTTCAAAATTCTCCATAAATTTTCAATAAGATTGAAGATGGTCCAGAGTCTGGCTAGGCCATGCAAACACCATCATCTTTTTTAGAAATTAGTCTTGAGCTATTTTGGCTGTATATTTCAGGTCATTGTCTTGTTGAAACGTCCATCTTCTCCCCAGATTCAGTTTTTTGGCCGATTCTCTTCTAATATGTTCTGGTAGATAGATCCATTTATGCTTCCTTTAATGATGTGAAATGCTCCAATACTGTTTGCCATAACCTTACCTTATCATGATGCTTCATACTTCACTATGGGTGTGGTGTTCTTGGGATCATATGTGGAACCTTTCTTTTTGCAAACATGACTGAGCTGAATTAGAGCTAAAGAGTTCTATCTTTGTTTCGTCTGACGAGAGTGCACAGTTTCAGAAGGTTCTGATTTGTCTAAACGTTTGTCTGCAAACTGATGTTCATCTCTGTGCTTCTTTTTTTAGTAAAATTTTGCATGGGGTGTAGGAACAGAGATACCTGTGGTGCAGTTCATTGCTTATTGTTCTCGGTGAAACTGTTGTTTTGCACAAATTTGCATTAGAGTTAAACTATATTAAACAAGTAGCTTTGTATAAATCATGCTGTTGGCTAGGTATTTCTTCCTGTAGGGCAGCAGAGTGTTTGAGCAGTTTGAGCATTGTACTTGTCAATTGCACTCATTGTGACATACATCTAAATTAAAGCACTTTATTTATGGCTCATTTTAAAGATTTGTAGTTTTTAAAGAAAGAAAAATATTCAATAGTTATCAGCATCAGCTGATGTTGATCAGTTTCAGTATCGGTATAAGAACAGAAAAAAAAAAGAAAAAAGACTGAGGGGTGTCTTGCCATCTCTCATACAAATAGCTGTGCTAGAGGACAACACAAAATGGACGTTTGACTTGGGAAACCTGCCTTACTATTGCAGCACAAAGCCTCACCTCGAGAAGGAAACGCATGAAATGAGCATCCTTAATGTCCTCATATGACCAACGTCTACAGCTTTGGCTTACTGAGCTCTGTTCCTTCTTCAGCATGCCACAAATAAATGAGTCTCTCACACTGGAACACACCGGGGGGACAACCGTTAGCATTAAATTCTTTCAACATGGTAGTAAATAACAGATTAGAACTTACAGTATTACCACCATACAGCTATTTAACATTTTGACACAGTAACAATTTAGCTTACTACAAAGTAATCTTACTATACATTTCAATCAGTAGGCTAAGGGCTAGGACAGTTATACTCAATTAAGTAGAAAATGAATGTTGATCACTAAAAGGAATAAAATAGCAGTCAGAGCAAAAATGAAAGACAGTAGATAAAGCTGAGAGGGAACAGGAAAATGACAGCAGCTTACCTGGTGGGGTGGTGGTTCCTACAGCAGACATCTCCACTGGAGGTGAGGGTGAAGCCTTCACACACATACAAATCTTCCTTTCCGAACAACAGTACTCCCTCTGTCAGCACATGGCCACTGACTACAGCCACACACTGCTTAGCTTTGACCTGGAGCAGGACAAACAGTTCTCAGTCATTCAGAAGTAAGCTCAAAAAGTGCCAAAAAGTTCTTTGGAGCAATGCTATATAAGAACCACTTTTGGTTCTCTAAAGAACCCTGCAATGAATTGTTCCTTAAAAATATTTTTGTAAAACGAGGAGTCTGAAAACCTTTTTTTTTTCTCCAAGTTTGAAGAAGCTTCACATAATGTACAAGTTCGCCTAGAACCATTAACCCAGGTAAAGAACCATGTAAGAACCTTCACTTTTTATATCAACTGCTTTCAGCATAAATATGCGCTTGTGTTTGTGGTGAAACATTTCAGACAAACAGTTCAACTAGTAACAAATAAAACAGTTTAACTTCAGGCTTATTATTCAGTTATTAACCTTATAATTTATCATTAAGTAACTACTATAAATTACTTAATAACTATTATGAAACTGATATGTAAGTTATGCATACTTCAAAAAGACATCTTTTCACAGGCAAAAATGATCATTTGAGCTCAAATGATCATTTTGTAAAATAACAGCAATTGATCCTGTAAACAAATAACAGAAATAAAATGTAAATGTAAAAAATGTAATTTGCTGTTATTTAACAGATTTCAGGATTTTTTAGTTTTGTTTGCTTTGCCACATTATTTACAAAGCTTATAATACCTCCATGTGTAGATCACTTCCTCAATACATCACAATGATCAATATTTCACAACAATTAAATAGCATTACTTATATTCACACGCTTAGATTTACAGACATCAGCAAATCCATTAAAACACAAATGTGCTTATGTCACATTTTTTTGGATAAGTGTTGCGAACGTGTATATAGCTCCTACATCCTGCACTCTCACTGGATAAATCACATGGCATCAAATTCATAAATGCTTTTATTTTGCAGTTATTTTCATGTCTATATATATAGTCATTTAGCTATTCACTTAGAAAACAGATGACTGACAAAATACTTATTTTAACTGTTTAATTTATTGTCACTATCCGGTGAAGTAAGAGTCAATGTAATAAAAACAACAGCTCCCAATTACAGCAGCATTCATCCTCCCAAATATCTCAGGTGCCTAGGGCAGGGGTGCTCAAACTTATAAACAATATACAAATTAAGAAAGTAGGCAGGCTTCAAATTGAGCTTCTAAAAATGTATTATACAACATTATACACTACATATATTTATGTTACTAAATTACTTCAACAATACAATTTTAAAAGGAAAGTAATAATTGAATAAATTAGGTTTTTACTATAAAATCTGCTTGTTCTCTTATTGGGTGAGGGAGTGGGTTAGGGCCAAATCAAACATCCTCGCAGGCCAATTTCTGCCTGCAGGCCTCACTTTGGGCAGCCCTGCTCTAAGGGTTCACCTCATCACCAAGAGATTTTGAGTTCGAATCCTGGATACCATCTGTGGCCAGGAGTACAAATGAGTCCTAACTAATGGGTAGAAACTGACCATAAATATAAAATAAAAAAATGATAAGTCTTAAGGTTTTTCAATATGATTACATCTACAGAAATAATTGTTATTTAACAGTCTGAATGACTTCCACTGTATGTTTTTCTCTGGGGTTTGTTTTAACAGTGCTTTTATGAGAGTGGAATTGAAGTGTGGACTCACATTTGGGCTCTTGCTATTTAAAAGGGGTTAAGGCCTATTTCGGATCTGGGAAAGGCATGAGAACATCGGATGAATGAATAATGCTAATGTGAATACCTCTATGTTAAGCTAGCTGTTTAACTGATGGGTACATAGCCTGCAGCACATGCTTCTAACCCTTTGCTCTGGAACTAGAATGTCAAAGAGGTACAGCCCTCTCCCTGATTGATCACTGTTACCACTTCATTATCTAAACAACATGGTGGTGAAACAAAGCAACAGAACCAAGAGCATGGATGACTGGCCTGTTTGGGAAAGAGGCCGGAGCACCGCAGGCAGTGTCCTAACAAAACCCTGAAATTATGCACAGCTAATTTTATTGTCTCCCTTCATTTCACACCACGCGTCTGCACCTGGCCCCGGCCCCGGCTCCACAGCTCCGGGCCCTTGGGACCCGCGTCTCTAAAACATATGGGGCCCTGCTGCACCGGCAGCCGCTCCACAATTAATACAAATCAAATCAGAGGCTCCTCTCCATGCCAGCACCCCCTCAGCACCATGAAGAGGGCCCCACTGTTTATTACTAGAATTAATCAATGACATACACACAATAGCAAAACACTAATTGATTAAAGCCTTGTTTCAATGTGTGGTACACCTGGTGGGCCTTCAGTCTCAGGTCAGAACTGATTCAGTTTTCAAGCACTTTCTAAGATTTGATTCTGCAAAGCCAGGGTGACTCAGCAAGCTTATTTTAAAAGCCATTTGAGTTCTGGGGGTTATGTAAGCATGCCATAAAGAGGTCAAACACAAAAAAGCCATAGAAACATCAGCTAACATCCTATAATTTCTGCTATAAGCATACATGAGTTTCTTTCTATGTACACTGAGGCTAAACATCAACTTTTCTCTGACCATGTTTGGACAAGGAGTCGTTAACTGTGCATGTGGATTAATAAGCATGGAGAGAACCATTCATCTGACAAACAGCACAGCGGGACTTGCCACCTTTAAAACGAATACACGACAGCTGACATCACCCCCTACTGCTACTTATTAATACTTCTGTCAAGAGCTCACTACCCAGTTTATCCTGAAGAGGCCTGTCGGATCACGCCCAAGTCTTCCCCCTGCCATAATGATACTACACGCATATGCTGCAGTGGACAGCCAGACAATAGAGCTCTACATGCCACTAATTATGGGATGGGTTAGAACTGAAGTCAAACTGAGGTCACCCTTGGCCCCTGTTGGCTGCTCTCACCTCCTCATTGGGAACCAGCTGCTGTAGTATGAGCTTGGTCTCTGTGCAATGCTCTGAGAAATCCTCTACAGGGGTCGAAGCCTCGGTCAGCGAGGGGAAAAAGGTCAGCCGCTCACAGTCTGATCCAGGCTCCTCTTCAGCCTCCGGGCCTGGCTCACACAGGATCCTCAACTCTGACACACACATATGACTGTTTTTATATCTTGGCAGCAAGTGGGGTCATACATATGTCCCATACATATTATTTACAGTACTGTGTAAGTCAGACACCATGCTTCATTTATTTAATTTCCAGTAAAAACTAATACTAATAATAATAAAAGTTTTTCATTTTTAGACATTTCAGAGGAGAATATATATACAATAATCCACTTGCATAAGGAATGAACACTTCAAAGGAAAATAACTGAAAAAAATGAGTTTCCAAAACTGGAGTTAAAAATATTGTTTAAAGATATAAAGAAAATGGAACTCCTAACAACCACGCAAGACTTGATAGATCCAAAACCATCACCCTCAGATAAGCAGTACTTAAAGCAATATTCTTTGAGGGCTAGGAGAAAATCAAGCTCCACTCTTGCCTCAGATCTGAAGGTGTTTCTGTCTATCCTTCCACTCACAAAAGGATGTAAGAAGACAAATTCAACAATATGGGTCTTAAAGGGTGTGTAGCTGTCAAGAAGCTGTTACTAGGAAAAGGGAAATAGACAAAAAGAATAAAAATTACAAATCCAACAAAGCTGCTGATGTTCTGAGAAAAAAGGACTGGCCACCTCAGAGTCCAGACCTCAACATCATTGAATGTGTTAGGGATTAATTGTACCATGAGAAGCAGAAAATATACCCAATGTATAAGACTGAACTTTGGAGATGTGGTAAAATATCCCTGCAGATTTTTTAGAAGGACACAGAGCAAGTCTCATGAAAAGAACGGAAGCTGTAATAACGGCAAAGTGTGGGCAAAATTTTGAAAAATTCTGTGCAATTTTCTGTTAAATATATGCTTTCAGCTTTTTTGCTGACTCTTCGCTGTTTATCTGATGGTGACTGTTTTGTTGGTCTACCAGGTCTTGTATGGTGGTTAGGACTGCCTCCTCAGAAATAATCTACAGAAAAATGAATACCTTGTACTTTATGACCGTTTTGACTGGACATTACATAAATGAAGGTTAGCCTCTGACTGGTCAGCCACTGTACTGTATATTGTTGTTTTAACAAAACCTCTTCTCTCAGAAATGAAAACTTGCTAAGAGAAGAAAAAAAAACACTTAACTTCAATGTAGGTTAATGTAACAATATTTCATTCCAAGCACTTTTGGGCAATTTCTATTAATTTATTCTGCATGAAATGTTCACACAATGTAAAAAGGATAAAATAATGATATTAAATGGCATAGAAAAGGGAAATAATTGAAGTAAGAGGTTATTCATATGATAGCAATGATATGTAACTACCTACATAACCTCTCCAACAGGTTGCTTTTGTAAAGCACTTTACAGTCAGGACCGTTTTGGTGCTCCTGACATTGTAGGTTAGACCTGTATTTTCTCTGACTTTCCTACACAGATAAACATCCAATGTATATAAACACATACAAATAAAATGTAGAGAGGAGCTCTCTGCTTTCTGCTCTACACTCACTATGTTAAGTTTTTTAAAGTATACTGACAAAATTGCTGTACCTGAATCTGCACTGGGCAGTTCTGCCATACCTCTGTTTTCCTCTACAGGACCACTTTTCATATACTGTCCTGACATCAGGGATGGTAACTATAACAGGAAGATCATGTTGTACATCATGTCATATGATATAAGCACAATTAACAGGAGACCAACAATTGCTTCTTTTTGTGATGATAGGTGACCTTTTTTGAGCGTCGCAGAGCCTTCCTGCGGATGCGGGGTCTTGTTCTGTTTGGCCCCTCAGCTGCATCCTGAACCCAGCCTTGGTTGATGAAGACCCCTGGACCAGGGCCAAAAAGCCCCCTCTCACGAAGCAAATCTTCTTCTATCCTCAGCCACTGAACAGCCATTCGCTCATTCTCACACTGAAGCATCTGCACAGCACAGCACACCACAGCACTTCCTATTGAACTCCTCCAAGTGAGCGGCAACGCAATTTCAACTCATTGTCCCCAGACATCAATCAATATTTATAATACATAATATTACTATGCAACAGAACAGTTTTAATCCTGCATAATACATCGCTTGTTAATAGTTGGACCTACTTCAGATGCTCCTGAGGAGATTCTGTACTATTCTGTATGGATTTCTGTATGTATTTGGCATTATTTTTTACTTAAATGTTTTACACTGTATGAATACACTGTATATTATATTGCAATAGCATAATGTATATATGCAGTACTGTGCAAAAGTCTTAGCAACTAAGCACATTATTTAAAACCCTTTATCTTGGTCTTAACCATAATGTGTGCTTGTGCTTGTCAAAAGACCATACAGAGGTAGAATAAATACAAATAAGCATAAACACAGTACAAAATATCAAGTATTTCTCGTTTACAAATAAGTAGTTAATATCTTGTGAGCTATTTATTCACCAGCACACTTGATTTATCATAATGAATCAGTGGTTAGCTAAACCAGGTATTAGATGATAACTACAATTAATACTGAGCTGCCACAAAAGAGGTTTGGAAATGGTTAAATGAACATGTTGACACACCTAATCATTATTTATTGTATTAATGTTATTTGTATTTATGTAATATTAGTGTTTCTCTGAGCAAATAGACACATACTGACCAGTTAAACAGCTTTTTAAAGCTACATTATGTAAGATATATTTGTTAAAATTGGAAAAAGTTGCATTACTGAGTCAGGAGGGGAAAAAACAACAAAAAAATGCTAAAATATGGTGTTTGTGCACTGCTGCGAGTCACTCTGTAAAGCCTGAAATAGCTATTTAAAAGTCAGAGGTCTCAGTCGGAGTGTGATACATCTTTATGTGTTAATGTCATAAAACATCTGACTCAATGTCTAATGTCAAATACAAAATCAACATTATACTGATTAAGATTTGATGACTATAGTGTATAATTCACTCACATCCTTGGAAAACATGTCTCTCACCAAGTTTTGCCTTAGTTCTCATTGAATACTCTTTCAATGCACTTGCAATCATAAGATTCATCCACTCAGGGGAAGAGGTCAGAAGCATGACCAACATTACTAAATGTTCTTCTGCATGTTTTGTATAATTACACATTCCCAGTAGAGAGGTCTCCAAATCCCCAAATCTTACATATTGCAAAATTTAAATCACATTTTCCCCAAGTGCTTACAACCTTTGCACAGCATTGTATAATCATTTCATGCAGCCCCAGTCAGTACTCTAATCCATACAGCATTCCAGAACCACCCAGAATTTCTTATTTACTGTAATTACATCTCAACACAAACTCTGACAAACCTGTGCATGATTCTTCAGCAAGCTCTCAAACATCTCTTCACTGGTCTTTCTGTGAACTTCCATGTCTGCCAAAAATGTCTGAGAAACACATTAGAAAAGTATAAAGTGAGCTTTTGATCGGTCTTTGTAAAGTACACATTTATGTAAGCGTTCTGTGTGCATACTGTTATAACTCCATTTCATAAAGTGCATTTATCTGGCAAACAAGCTAGTGGCTATTGAACCCTACAATAACCCAGGCTCCAAATGTAATAATTCTCAGTGTGCAGTAATTAAGTTAAAGTATAATATCAGCACAGTGTGAGGTGGCTGCTGGCCGTGTGCCACAATCTGTGCCCAGCTGATTTATTACACTGATTGGCATTAGCCCTTCAGGAGGCCTGTGTACTACACGACCAATGTGCTTGTTCTAATATTTACTTAAAGAGTCATTAAGCTAATCATCACAGTGGTATCCTCTTAAAGCGAGTCAGGGAACTACAGGACCCGGCTGTAAAGCCTAACTCAGGAAGCGCATTAACTCTGCCTCCGAGACTGATACTGAACCCTGTGTCCTGCCCTGCTCAGCAGGAGCTTCACTGATGCATCTGTTAGGCAAAGCTACTGCAGGACGGCAGGAGCGGCTGCTTCCACAACAAACAAACATGGACCATCTGAAAAAAAGGCCAAATGAATATATCATGCAGGAATCTGACTAATAATACTGACACCTTCATGACAAAAAGCACAGATTCAGTAGGTACAGTTTGCAGACATAAATTTTCCTTGAGACTGTAAAATTTCCAAAACTCAAAGTCAACATTACGGAGCAGTTCAATTTTCCAAAACATACAAACCCAGATGATCCATAGTTACTAGATTCACTGGAAAATATTGCCAATTACATCACAGTAAATTAGAAAATGTCTGACCAAATCTCTAAACAGCACTACAGAAGAGCAATAAACTCTCAAACTTTTAAACTTCTCAAATTACTAGTTACAAAACTAGGAGGAAAAAACAAAATGATGCATTTGTGCTTGCCAAATGGATGGGAGGATTAGGAAGCGTTACAAAGAGAAATTTACGGGAGCAATTACGGCCCTGTTTCCACGGATAAACACTGAATCATCTCCTAATCTTATTCCTTTATTTAGAGAATCATAAGTAATATATAGCATTAATTACCCCATTTACCAAACAGGAAAACTCATTGGCCTCTTAAACGTGCCACATTAAATAGCATCCCCTCTGCAATTATCATCACACTGATTTACATTTTAATTACTTTCCAGAGAAAACACTACCTTTGATGATAACATAACATAACGTCAACTTCATTCTGAGCCATTGGTGAATGTGTAATAAACTTAACTTGATCATTAGCCATGTTAATTATCTTTCTGTTAGGAAGATAAAGATATAATTATGCTGACAGTATATTTCTGAAATGAATCCAGCGAAAAGTTTGTGCTGCGGGATGTGGGATGAGTTTTCTGGCATTCGTGCTTTGGGGCTATTACTGGTCATGTCAGTGACACACTCTAGAAAGTGCCAGAACTTTCAAGCTATATATATAATAATATATGTAAACATTTAACACCCCAGTCAAACTGCATATTTTGTAGACTTTCTAAGTGAAAATAAAGTCACACAACCTCTACAGAGAACAAACTCTAATATGGCACTTTTCTGCAGATTTTAGTGTACAGTTTTGATTTATTTGCTCAATTCAACATATCAGGAAAAAACATAAAATATAAAATACCATAACTTTTACACAAACCACATTTTATGTTTTTTTTTTATAATATGTAAAATTTAGCAAATAAACAAAAATTCTCTGTTCTCTGAGAGGATGTGTTAACTTATTTTGACTTAGAAACTATACTGAATGTAAATGGACCAGGGGCGCCCAACCTTCTACATATGATTGTATTTGGATAATTCTACCAAATTAGTTCACACTGCAGTCTCACAGTAAAAAAAAATATTAAAACCAATGAAGTATCCAGACCTTACATATTGATATATATTATGTTATGACACATTTAAACCCAAGGCATTAATTGAGATAGTAATAAGCTAAATACATAGAATAAAAACTTACTTATGGGGTACTTTCTATTGGGAAGTGGTTGTCCCAAACCCAACACCTAAATTTCAACCTTTCAATTTTGTTTATAAAAAGATATTTTGATTTCTTTTAAAGTTGAAAGATTTTGATTTATCATGAGTTTTTAAATAAGAAAGCTTTATTCAAAAATGACTGTCCCATGTTTTCATGTCACTACAGAAACACAAAGAGCTTTAGTGCATAGGTGGAGCCTTACTTTAGCCACACCCCTGTATGTCAGAGCAGGAAGTGAGACTGCATCCCTGTCCCTCATGGCTACATGGTGAGCAGTTAGATCTCATTGTTTTGAAGTAAATGCGTAGCAAAGTCTGGAATTCAGTGTGTAACATCAAGAATGTAACTCCCAAAACACATTTTCTCAGCAATTAAGTAAACATTCTGTGTTTTAATGAAAAATATTATGATGCCACATGTGTACAACTGTTCAAAGCTGTATTTACTAGTCATGTATCAACTAGTTTTTTTGACGTATGCTCAAAATTGGCTAAAACTGTCACTACCGAAACTATCACTACTGAAACATTTGGTCAAGGTTCATAGGAGTTATTATTATATTAGTTGTGACAAAATGGAATGTTCAATCATTTATTTTAATAAAATAAACATACTTATGGCAAGCGTCATTTAAAAGTCAGTTAAAAGTCTGAAATATGTTTTGAACTCTGACTTTGAACACTTTCAGAAACTGCTATTCACACATCCAGAAATTTTAAAAAGCTAAGTTTAATTACACATTTTTGGTTAACTTGACAAAATAATAGTTTATAAGTTTAGTTGTTTAGTTGTTTAGTTGTTACTAAATTCAAAAGTATACAAGACTATATCACTCCACATAACTTCTGTCCTTTTTTTAATACTGGAATGACACACAGACTCCCTAAAATAGAGATTTTTTTTTTTTTTACCAAATTCCTCACAGTAGCTTTCTGAAGGGAACAATTCATCAAAAGAGTTGATAGGCTGTCAAGAGTTGATATGATAAAGAATAACACAAAATGAATAATGTTTTCATCAGATTGTGACTGCCTATAATTACCGCCCCCTGTTTTTGAGGCGGAGACGGAGACAGCAGCAGTTGCACAGAAACGGTAATTTCATGCCTCGTGCCTGAGTAATATCTCTGTGCATCCTTTTCCAGATGGCGACGTCTTCAACAGTGGGAACTAATGATGTGGGCCGAGTTTCAGGGGGAAAAACAACAATAACAGCGTCTTTAACCTTCACCGGCAAGCGCAATGTTCTACCGAGTGTTCCCGTGGAAAAAATTAACAAATATCAATTACATTGCCCACTGAGGTGTACTCAGCTGTAATGATCCAAATTGATTTAGAAGACGGATTGAGACAGTGCCACAGGGTAGGTGAGGCTGCTGGGTGTGGTGACTTTGGGAGGGTGGCAGGGCACAATGGTCAGGATAAGCACCTGTGAAACAGCTCGCACTCACTTAATAACCCATTTCCTCTCTCTGCCAGGCTACACGAGGGCCAATACTGAGAGAATCCAAACAGCCAGTAGCAGAGTCTCTTACCTCCACGCTAGAGCCTGAGTCCTTTCCAGCTCTCCTGTGAGGCGAGCGCTGCACACTGCTAAGAAGACCTGCCTTCTTCTGGCCATTATTCATCTTCTTCTTCTGAGAGTCTGAGGAGAGATTGGCTAATCTGAGCACATCCAAATCATCAAACAGTAGGGTCTGACTGAAATTTTGTGACTGATAGTGATAATTATTTTTTTTATATTGTAATTGTAAAATTATACAGTCATATGCAAAAGTTTGGGTGCCCTGGTCAAATTACATATTTTGTTGATTTTCTACATGAAAATAAGTTAAAACATCCTCTGCAGAGATCTGCACATTTACTGCACAATTACAGTTTAATACAGTAGGAAAAAAATAACGTCGCCCGTGCAAAACGTTACTGCAGATTTAGATATATATTTTTTCAATATGTTAGATAGAATAGAAAAATACAGAAAAACACTGAGTTTCTTCCTTGTAGTGGATGTGTTAACTTCTTTTCACTTAGAAAATCAACAACATATGTCATTTGACCTGGGGTGTTCAATCTCTGCCATATGGCTGTATCTACAGCATATCTGCTTATTTGAAAATTACATATTAATAAACTCATCACTGCTCCACTCAAATTTTTAAACCTACTCCTATTACTGATTTTTTTGTAAATGTATGTATAAACTTTCCCAACATCATTTTCAGCACTAATAAAAATTTTGCAAATAATAAATAATTCAGGTGATTATTTAAACAGACTGAAGATAAGGCACCAGTCATCGCACCAGTGAAGCAATGGAAGCCATGGGTTCAACAAAAGCCAGAGGCAAAGTACAGAATAGTAATGCTGAAAAGATGCACACAGCAAAGAGAGAGCCTGACCTATGAAAACCTGCCATGCTTTTACTGCTGTCTCTTCCCATAGAGGGCTCACATCAGTCATGGAGACTGGGACTTCCCTGCCTGCCTGCTTAGCCGATAGGTCAATCTTATAGGCCTCCTCCAGCGACTGTCTCCTCTCCACTATCACTTTACTCCACGTGCTCTCCACGAGCCTCATCAGCTCCGACTCCACTGTACACAACAGCAAAAAAAAAAAACAAAAATAAAAAAACACAAATCACCAATGTTATTCACGTGTCGGCCATTTGATCAGCATCTCGGGAGAAGACGGACAACTCACCCTCTGCTGAATCTGGGATGTCAACTGGGGCCATTGTGCGGTTGTTCTTGTGTGGGAAAAGGTGTCGCCAGATTTTTCTAGATGGCTTTTTATGCATTTCACAGCCAAACCCCTCAGGAAAGCTGAGAGTGTAAAATAAAAACATAAAGAACAGCATTACTGCCTTTCTCTAGCTTTCAATATAAGGGCATAAATCTCGGACCTCACAATGAGTCAGCTGAGAGTCTTTGGTAAATAATTCAGTGCATCATAAAATCTCAAATTTCTTCTGATTATTTAATTCATACTTATTTGAACATAATACACACATTATGAAGACTGGTATGCAACAGTGGAATTTAAACAACAAAAACAAAGTATCAAACTTTCTTTTTGGATTTTTACATTTGAAAACAGCCCTCTACATTTAATGTGTCCATAAAATCACAGCCTATTGTACTTTATTGAATATGATTATAATTGATTTTAGATTCCAAATTGATACAGTTGAAATGTTACTTTTAGATTGCTGCATGCATTTGTACACCTTCTTCACTGATAATCCCACAGAATGGTAATAGGAGGAAAACATGGTACCTTCCTGAGCGGATCAGGAGCAGGCAGTGCAGTAAGCAGCTGATGAAGTGGACGTTAGCGTTGTAGGTGGCCATGATGACGTCCCATTGTTGCTGCAGCACAGTGAGGGTCCTGAGGATGAGCTGCTGCTCGGCCGGGGTCTGCCTTGGCCGGGACAGGAAGTAGAGCAGGGCCCTGTTCATGCTTTTGTATAGAACACTGACTGTGGACTCTCGCTGTGTCTGCCCCTTCTCCATCGCCTGCCACACATATACAGGAAGTCATCAGTAAAACACTATAATGGTCTGCAAAAATCAAAAGCTTGGCCATTCTCTCACTACACATACGTACCACAGCAATCTGCTCTGCTACAAAGACCAGCAGGTTTTCTGGATCCACCACAAACATGCCAGTATAGAGCTTCTCCACCAGCATCTTACTGAAGAAAGCTATGTTATCAATCAGTATAGCCACCTTCCCCTCAGGCCTGGATTTGGACGGATTTGGATCTGCAAGTAAAACCAAAATAAGCAGGCTTATTGCTTTAAGAGCAGCACTGAGACATGGATTTTGTTATGGATTATGAACAAGACATAAAACAAAGAAGAGGGCAGAAATATTTTGTGAATGTTATTATCCTTAAAAATATCATTCTGGATAGTATAATTAAAAGTCAAAGAAAGTCAAAAGAAGAATTTATACCAAAAGCTTTGGTAATATGAATACATTTAGAGGGAACTTTCAGTTAATGTCAACCAACATTTCAGTATTTTTTCCCCACAAAAACACAAAAAATACAAAAGTCTGCCGCACCACATGGGTAATATTACTTTACCGTCTCTGGCCACATGTGTAGACTGACCCTCCTCCTGTCCAGTCATGTGAATGATGTCCATAAGAAATTCCAGCAGCTCACTCTGAAAGCTCTGCTTCTGCTCCTGACACACACCATCTGGAGAGAACTGAAAACATCGCTGCAGTTTTAAAATAAACACATACACACGGCAACATTTAGTACTTTAACACACCATACCTATACACATAATCATATTTCACGTTAGCTGGCTTTGCAAAACACAGAGTCTTCCAGTGAGGAATAGATGTGCATGTGGTGCCCATCCCTCAAAACTGGGCCAAGAGTGGCACCTTATGGAGAAAAAATTTTACACACTGGGCCAGTAGCAGATGATTACACAATTAGAAATGTGGAAATGGTATATTATTCGTGTAAAATGTACAATATACAGCACTGTGCAAAAGTCAGAGACCACCTTTTTATTTATTTAATTTCTAGTCATAGTGGTCATTACAAGTATACGTATAAATGATCCATTTTGCAGGAGATATTTCTGAGGAGATCAGATATGAGATAATAATGCATAAAGAAGGAGAGAAAGTCAAAGGAAAATAAGTGAAAAATCAGGAGTTTCAACATACTATTAAAGTATATAAAGAAAACAGGATTCCTAATAACAATGCCAGATCAGGTAGACCACCAAAAGTGTCACCATCAAATTAGACAGTACTTTCAGCTTTGAGAGACAGGAGAATATTAAGCTCCACTTTTGCTTCAGCTCTGAAAATATCCACAGATGTTTCTGTTCATCTTTCCATTGTGAGATGACAACTCAATGCTATGAGTCTGTTACTGAGAAAAGGAAATACACAAAAAAGAGGGAAATTTGCTAATCAAACAAAGAAGCTACTGGTTTTCTCAAAACAATGGACTGACCACCCCAAGGTCCAGACCTCAACATCACTGAATGTGTTTGGGATTACTTTGGTTTTGCAGAAGCAGAAAATGCAACCAACTTCTAAGATTGAACTTTGGAGGTGTTCACAAGAAGCATGGAAAAATATAACCTGCAGATTTCTTTGAAAAACTGTAAAGTGAGTCTCCTGAAAAGAATGGAAGGAAAAGAGTGGACACACTTAATACTGAAAAATCTGTTATTGTCTTTAGTTGTTGAGGCTTCTGTGTAATTTCTTGTTAAATATATGTTTCCTGCTCTTTTCCTGACACTGAATGAATTTTAACTGGAAATTAAATAATGAAGGAGGCCTCTGACTTTTGAACAGTACTGTATATACACCATAAACTTTGCTCTTGCACTTTGTTTCCCACTATAGCCATAACCTCTAGCTGCTTTTGCCAGCGATAACAAAAGCATGTCGTGGTTTATTTTCACTCACTTATTACACAATTTTCCTCACTCACATGCAGTTTCTCATGACACCACATCTGTGTTTATAGTGTTTATAAGTAAAAGAGGAGCTGTTTTAGTCTTGCTTCCTTCATATTTTTTGCTATGTGTCATTTGTTGACATCAAAATAAATAGGTCAGAAGTGCAGACTCAAACATGTTGCTACAGCATTGAAATGTAATTCTTTATGTAACTAACCATGTAATTACATTTAAATAAAGTAAATGACAATGATAACTCTCGACTTCTAAGGGTTAATTACACATGTCCATGCGCTGCTAATGGCAGAGGCTGCCTATCCTCACCTCCAGTAGCTGAATGAAGGGGTGATGCTGATCTTTGGCAGGAATGTTTATGAGGCTGTCCATGAGCAGAATGCGAATGAAGTCACACACCTGCTTCCTAGCAGGGTGCGAGAGTCGGGCTACTGGGGATTCCCCCACAGCCCCACCATCAACGTTACCCTGGGCACCTGCAGGGCTCTTCATAGAAAGACAGGAGACACACATGATCAGAGCATAAACGGCTGAGTTGATTTTCTCTAGGGCATTAAAAGCTGCATATCAGGCCTGTAATTTGATGTGCAAGGAGCATGAAAGGTACTGTCCCCTCATGTCTCACCTCAGTGGTTTCAGTAGGAAAAACTGCACTGGCCAGAGAGTTGAGGAAGTCAAGGGAAGCCCACAGAGGATCTCGGGGGAAGAGGCTGTGGAGTAGGCAGAGGAACTGCATCACACTGCCTGGGTACTGGACTTCCCAGCTGTCTTCACTTCCTGATATTGGCTTTTTGGAGAAACGAAAGCAAAGTATAGAACAGTATAAGTAACAGTCAACCCTTAGAAGTCAGTTATCATCAGTTAAAACAAAAGCACAGCTTTTCACTGATCGCTCAAACAAATAGAAACATTTTGAAGAAAATTTACGTTTTAAACCTTCAAACAATATCAGAAAAAAATATTGGAAAAATGTGGAAGAGCAAACTTGAACCTGTTGACAAAGAATATACAGTAAGTATAAATTATTACATAACAAACTTACAAATAACATTGTTTTATTGCATTTGAATGTACAACTTCTAAGAGTTAAGCACACATATCATGTGGATTTAAGTTCATACAGACCTTGGTCTATAAAATGTCACTGATTTTTCTCACCTTACAAATGATCATCTTGACCAGCTCTATGAGAACGCAGGCTGCTTCTGTGCAGAGCTGAACTCCTTGTTCATTTTTGGAGCTGTCAATCACACTCTGGAGTAAGCTGTCAAGATCCACCTGGAATCAAAATGGAGATGTTTGAGTCACTGAATAAAATACAAGAATCATCTGATTTTTCAGGCTTTTCTAAAATATAAACTTTTTCAAAATAAATCACAATCTCATTATCTGTGTGTCTACTTGCACTTCCAATTTATTCAGACACTTGTGCTTCTACAATGCATTAAAACCACCTGTCAAATTTACCTTTCCATCAGGTATGTGAAAATCTGCTTTTCCCATCAGCAGTGCAGCGAAAGCTCCATATATCTGCGGCAAGCTAATATGACTGAGAAGCAGCCTGGGCAGTACATTAAAGCCTGGACACGTGCAGCTCAAACACTCATATGACCAAGAGTGTGACCCCAAGTTACCTGAGGAAAATGGCAACAGATTAACACAAAAAAAAAAACAGTATAATCTTAAATCTGCTACATTTTTGTTGCTGATAGCATGACTGCTGACTGACTTCAATTTCAGAACTGCTACAGAGTCATGAAAGAGAGTGAGCAAAACCATCAATCAACATACTTCTCACATATCGTCTAGTGTGTGGGCTTAATAACAGGCTTTTACAGTTTTCAAACAACGAAATTGCTGTACCTATGACTCTGGGCGGCATGTCCATGCCTTCTGACAGTGTTCCTAATGACACGCCCTCTCTGAACTTGGTCAGTATGCTCTGATTCGAGATAAAATGGATGAGCAGCCTAAGAGCCAACAGAACTGTGCTGGAGTGGACGTGTCCCTGTAAGAAGAGGAGGAACCAATCTGACCCCAGCGTGAGGAATACTTCTTCCTGGTTACTACCATGCAAGAAACATGGGAGCGTTAGAGAATCAAAATTTGTTACTTTTAAGTACACTTATGAAAATTTTTGGTAAGAAGTTCCCTTCACTACAGACTCACTTGTTAGGTAGAGGGTTGTCAGAGATGATTAGTGAGGACAGCACCTCAAGCAGCTGGTTCCTGATCCAGACGGTTCTTGCAGGTGTTTGGCTCAGGGCTAGACAGAAGTTCAGGCAAAGCTTCACTCAGCTTTAATCAAAGCATCCAAAGAAACATGTAGACTTCAATACTGAGAAACACAGTCCTCTAAATCAGTGTTTCTCAACCCTGGTCCTGGAGGCCCACTGTCCTGCACATTTTAGCGCTTTTCCTGCTTTAACACAGCAAGTTCAACTTAATTATGGACTGTTAATAAGCTGATTAGTTGGATCAGGTGTATTGGGAGCAGCAAAAGCACTAAAAAAAGGCAGAGCAGTGGGCCTCCAGGAGCAGCGTTGAGAACCACTGCTCTAAACACAAACTTCTAATGGCAATTTTTGTTTATATGTAGTGGTATTTTTCTTACCTTGAGACTGATCATCTGAAACTATACATGGAAAGGCTGTATTCTCATTAACATCTGGGGACAACAGGGTCTGAATTAAAAAGAGTCCAAGCCTGCGTGAGCAAAGACAAAACACAGAGGTGGAGAAACTTGCTTTAGTTACACACGTATTAAGTGCTTTACCAATGCAAAATTAAGGCCGCTTAGAGTCTGTCATCTCTAAAACAACCTTCTGGACATATTTGGGGCAGTGCTAGGGTGTGCATCTTTAATTCATGTGTTAAGCAAATCGGGCCCAAGTAATTTTATTGTCCTAAATCTTGCATGGTAAAAAAGATCTAGCACAGCCAATAGTTCCAATGTGGTATTGCAACCAAACTGCCTACCAGTCTATAGGTATGATGCTGTGTTTAGATTGTTTACATACATGAGAAAACGAATTTTATGATCATGGAGGGATAAATAAATGGTCTACATTAGTCTGCTCCAAGAAACTGAGAATTATACTTCTATAAAGTAATGTGCAAAAGTCAGTTAAGTTATTCATTTTTCAGTGTCAGGAAAAAAGCAGAAAACATATATTTAACCAAAACTTACACAGAAGCCTCAACAACTAAATATAATTTCAAATTGTTTAGTATTTAGAGTCCACACTTCGCCTTTATTAGAGCTTCCATTCTCTTTAGAAAAAAACTGGTTTTAGTTTTTCAAAGAAATCTGCAGGGAGGTTTCAAAATTCAGTCTCAGAAGCTGGTTGCATTTTTGCCTTCTCATAATAAACACATTTAGTGATGCTGAGGTCTGGGTGGTCAGTTTGTTGTTCTGAGAAAATCAGCCACTTCTTTGTTTGATTTGCAAATTTCCTTTTCTCAATAACAGCTTCTTGACAGCCACACATGATTTTAGACCCACAGCACTGAATTGTCTTCCTACAGTGGAAAGATGGACAGAAACAAGGATGTTTCCACCACAATGTGGAGCTTGATGTCTTGGTCTCTCAAAGATGAAAGCTGATGGTGATAGTTTTGATGGTCTACGGTTGGTAGGAGTCTTTTATTTTATACTTAGCACTTTTAATCTTTTAATTTGTAATCTTAATTTCTTTTACTCCAGTTTAGTAAACTGATGTTTTTTCACATTTTATGCAAATGGATTATTTTATGTCTACTCTTCTCAGAAATATCTTCTGAAAAACGAATAATTAGTACTTAATGGTTGTTCTGATTGGTCTCTGAGGCACAGTACTGCATTTAAACTGACTATCTAAAATTATTAAAATATGACATAATTACAATGGTATGTAGAAAGAAGTTCTAATTATTGGCTAATTTTGTGTGCTTTCATGAAAAACCTCCTTATATCTAATATCTGATAACAGTCAAATAAGAAATGTGCTAACATGTAACTCCTGGAAACAAGCGCAAAAGAAGTGTGTAAGTGGAATGAAACTTAAGCACCCAGAGTAAGGAATAACCCCAAGAACAGACTTTATATGAGCAATTGAACATGCCAGTGTTAGGCCATCAAATAGACTGTTCTTTGCATGCCTGCGGATGTCTGTGGTGCTGAAATGTCCTTGGAGCAGGTATGTGATGATGGTGCAGATGACAGTGACTTTTCTGTGTGTCACAGTGGCATCCTGCAGCAGGAAGAGGAGCTTGGTCATCAGATTGAGGCTTTGCATAGCCTCTGTATTCCGCAGATCTCCACTGAAAAAGATTGGCACAATCAATCATATGACAGATTAATGGTGACAAGTCAAATGTTATGTCAAGCAGAGTGCTACAGCATGTTTCCTGTAAACAGATCATGCATGAGTGGAAAGAGGAAGCAAGAATGCACTCTGTAATGTACAAATCAATGCATGTTTACATCAAGCCCTGAAAAGTCAATATACAACGGCTACATGGTTCAGTTTGAAGTACCTTGATGATTTCAGGATATCTGCAAAATGATTTAAAACAGCGAAGTCAAGACTTTCTGGAGCCTTCTGCCAGACCTATAAATAAAAGAAATTAACTATGAGGCATACAGGCCAGACTAAAAAAAAAACAGTGACATTGGCCATATATACTAGAAACTGTAAGTAATTCATGACATTTTACATATATAAACATAAGCATACCTCAAAGTCACAGAGGATACCCTGGAGGGCAGTGAGGTCATGGATATATATGCAGCCTGTTCCCAGCTCCATGGTGCCCACTATGGCCAAAATCAACTGGAACGTTCTACTACTGATCAAGTGAGCCTTTGACTTCAGGAGGAAGGCAAAGAGCTGCAGACAAAAATAAGTCAATCAAACAAAGATGACTCACTAGTATACATGCTTAAGTAAATAATATGTACAGAGGCAAATTTCTTTTCCAAAAAAGCCACATAAAGCTTATAAAGAGCCTGTGCAACTTATTGTATTAAAATGTTTTATTGTAGAACATCCTCACAGAGACTGTACCTTATAGCCATTTATGCGTTTCATCTCATGTCTCATCACTGGGTTCGCATCTAAGACAGACAGCAGAACTTTGACAGATGCATACAACGAGCCGTCATCTGACGCCATAGCGACCAGACTGAGGACAACTGCAGGTCCGCCAATGTACTGGAAACTAGTGGCAGCACTGTTCGCCATAAATGTCCTGACCCCTGCAAGATGAGGTAGAGGGACAAGGCAAATAAAATAAAGCCATATGTCATCAACCAGAAGTAATAATTATTTCAGTAATGATGTAGGTAGGGTCTAAAAAATTATAATTTTTTACCAAAGCGACCAATCAGGGCAGCCCCAATTGTTCTAGCAGTTCCACTAAGGTGCTGACTGATATTCCGGGCTAGAAAGATGGGAGTGGAGTTATCCCGTGATGGGATGCCCATCTATAAGTAAATACAACAGAACTGAAACTGTCTTCATCTTTACAGGCAGGCATCTAATGTGTTAATATACTACATATAAGCCAGAACTAACAAAATAGTGGCACCTCTTTGGCTATAAGACGGCAGTCCACCTCGTTGTGCTGCTCTCTGATCTCCACTACTGTAGTGACAGTAGACACTGCTGGGTTTATCCCGAAGGAGATCCTTTCTGGAGGAACTAGCCTCACTGGAGAATATTCTGTTTTTCCATTTGAGAAAAAAAATAAATAAATACAACTGCTTCTACACCAGTGTACTATACAATCTGCAATGCAGAAAAAGCATTTTATTGCTTGGTTCACAAATATACTGGCAAGTTTCAACAGAGCAAAGTTCATCAAAGACAGTTTTTGAGGCAAAAAAGCAGCAACAAAAACCGTGTTGTTTACCTACCTTGAGCGCCAAGAGCCAGGTAGTTGCCTAGGTACTTAGTGCCCTGTGCATACATGACCTCTACAGCATCAGAGCTCAGAACTTCTTCAAAGAGATATGCAGGACCAACTCGCCAGACCAGAGCTGCATGCTGTTTCCATATAGGGGGAGTGCCAATAATCCCACACACGTCAATAACTGCTGATGCATCCATTGCAACGCACTGACCAGGGAATGGCTGAATATACCTCATCTATTGACAGACAGACAGACAAACAGTATGCTGAGACCAACAGGTGTGCTGCATGATCTGAAATTATAAACACAATTTTTAATAACTTTTAAAAAGCAAAGAAGAGATGTACAATAGCCCCGAAAAGTGTCTGGACACTTTAACCATTGGCCAACTTTAATGATATTCTTTATGTTACTTCATAAAATGTTTTCAAAAAATGATATTTGTTTTAGCCCAACATCAAACTGACAACAGAGTCATTGTGTGAAAAAAGCCTTGACAACAAGTCCAACCAGACTGCATTAAGTGTACTGTAAAGCACAGAGGTGAGACGTCAAAATGTGTTTTTCTTTCAATAGTGTCGGAGAGTTCGTGTTCATTGATGGGATCAGGAACTCAACCAGAACTCAAACAGGACTGTCTTGGAATGGTCTGTTTAAAATAAATGCCACTCCGTTTGGCGTTTTGTTTCCCAATACAATTTTTTATGTATGGCACAAATGTCCTAATACTGGTGCCACTGTATCTGTAACACTTATACCAACCTTTGATGTCCCAATCATCTCTCCGTTCAGATAAGCAGACACTTTGCAGCTCTTTTTGATGTCTTTGGCCATTGCAACAACGAGGTGATGCCACTGACCCGGCATCAGCTGTCTGGAGCACTTGAAGCGCACTGAAACCGGCAGTGTAGTTGGAGTCCGTACCTCAGGCTCCATTATGTCTGTGGAATAAAGATGTTTTGTAATGAATTTTGTGTAATCTGTGCTGTGTAAAAAGAATCTGACAGCTCTAATTAAGGGTGGGAGATTCCTTAAAGATGTCTTGAGATCACTCAAGTCATCTTCATCACACAGTACGTGTATGATGATATTTAGTTATTATCAGTTTTGAAAACACGCTGGAATGAACCAACAAACAGTAGTGCCACATTTAAACAAGGCTATGAAAAACTATACATGAGTGAATTTCATCAAATGACTGTAAACTAAATAAACTATTTAAGAAGGACAATTGGAAAAAAAGTGAACAAGAGAAGCACGCTGCATTTAGGGTAATTTATCATATTAACGATATAACCAAGGATATAGTAATATTGCCCACATCCAGATATGATTCACATTCAGCATCAACACTAACTCAGTCATGGTCACATAATGTCAGGCATATATCAGTAAGGTATGTGTTATGCACAGTAATCAATGTAGTGTCAACAGAGTCGTCACCTAAGAACTGGTAGGGCTCCTCTTCGGTGGAGATGACCAGGCAGCCGTCAGAGGCAGAGATGCTTACTGACAGACAGCTGTACTGCTGCTCAGCACGGGACATGTGACGCACCACCGTCAGTAGACGCACCGGGTGGGAGTCACAGGCTGAGCTGAATCTGCTGATCAGAAACCAGCAGGAGAAAGACAGGCCAGCAGAGGGAGGAAAACCTCGGCAATCTGAGAAACAAGGAGGACAGCAGTGACACAGAGGCCTAGAAAATGCTTCACTGCATGCTCAGTTCATTAGGAGACCTACTGCATCATGTCCATTCTTAGTCCAATAATGATTTGCCTGATTTCAGATTTTTTAATATCGTTTAACCTCTTAAACCCTTAGGACCAGTTGGAGGGTCCAAAAATCTAACATATTATTTTCATAGTACTTACTAGTAATTACTTAGCAATCCAGTATTTAATGGACAATCAGTATAAGATCAATAACTGAATAACAGGCTTACAGCTTAAGGGTGTAAATGACACAGATGTCTGCATGTTTCTGTTGATGTTTCAGCTGTATACTTAAATATCTGAGAATGTATGTCTATGATAGCAATCAGTGCTGCTGACAAAACATTGCTCACCACTGCCGATTCCTCCTGTAGAGATGGAGTCTGCACTGACTCCTTTCACTGTGGCAAGAGATGGTAGAAAAAGACACCTGAAAGGACAGAAGGCCCTCTATGAGCTTGTGAAATTATAAAACTAGGATGACTGATAATAAGCACTGAAATTATGTCATGCAAAAACATTTTGTGAGACTAATTTAATTACTATCAGCAAAGCTGATTCAAGAGAATTCCAACATAGCCTACTTTATTTAAAACAGGAGGTTGCTGAAACCCACCCAAATCCACTGTCAGTCATGTCGAACTCCACAAACGAGGGGGATACAGACACTTTGTGTGGCCGGAAGCTCCGCGGCGAAGTCATTGAAACAAGGCTAATGATGCGGTGAACGGGAATTGGTGTCCCACTGTTTGGGGATGTCCTTAGTAAGCTGAAACTCCTTTTAAATGACTTCTTGGACCTTTTCTTGTCAGTGTCTACACAATCATCTGCTTGGTCAGTGCACTGGCCTTAAAAATACAGGAATTATTTTTTTAATACTGAGCCAATCTAAATCTGAAATATGATTTCTCAATGCTGATGAAGCATTTATTTAAACACACACACACACACACACACACACACACACACATACACACACACATTGACAGAAAACATGGTACCACATAGAAAGCTCCAATTCCACATGTCGATATATTTTACTAAGCTGAACTTAGACATGCATACAGCCCTCCAGGGGCAGATTTCAAAACTTTATGACAAAACCAGAGTCTGTGAATGTGTTGCCAGCAAGATGTTAGATAAGACAGGGTTAAAGAAAGGAAGATTATTAAAATGTACCATTAGAGAGTGGTAGGTCAGCCTCTGAGTCAGGGGGAGGGATACACTTCTCAGCATTACACATAAGAGGTTCTCCTAAACACAGGAACTGTCTGAAGAAAAACACAAAAGCAAATGACACAAACAATACAGACATAAATATCTATTTGTACAATTTGGATATGAACGCATCTGAAATCAAGACAACATGAATATGAAGTCATGCAACAGTATAGAAAAGTAAACCACTATAGATATTTTTAACATCATGTAGCATCCTCACTTGTTTGGGCTTACCTGAGGGACTTATGGTCTATGGATTGGGAAGCCAGTTTCTCCAGGATGCGAACCACCGGCAAGTGCAGTAAGTGGGTGCTGTTGCTGAGGATGTCCCGGCAGTGAGTCAGCAGAGTGACCAGCAGGCCTGACTCACACATAATCTGTCTGTTTTGCTCTGACTTCACCACAGACTGCACATGATGAGCTACAGCTAACTGCAGCTCTGCAGACAGCTACAGAGGACAGACCAGAGACACAGGAATGCTTCTGTACAGCAGACAAGAGCTTGTAAAAGTCATCAATCTTAAGAACAGCTTTGGCATTACATTTAAATAAATAAGAATTATGTATTATTGTACTACTAACCTGTGGGTCACTGGGAGAGTAAATATGAGGCAGCAGAGTCATGAGGACCTTAATTGCTCCAGGGTGCAGTATTGTATGATCACAGGAAAACCTGAGTAGAGAGGAATGTCTGTGATGGGTACAGGAAACAGAAGCACAAATAGAGGTCTCATGTTGATGCAACCCTCGGGCAGCCCCTGAGGTTAAGTGACTTGTCAGAGAGATCAAAAGCATCAGTGGCTGATAGAGACATTAGCCATCTGGCACTACACTACACCAATATGACCATGTTGCCCTTGTTTGGAAAATCGCTTGTTAATTACTACTGCAATATTAGCACTTGTGACACTGATTTCGCAGAGGTGTGCAATAAGCAAATGATCTCTCCAACAAATCACTGTTTCTTTACTGTGTGCTACGAACATCTTGACTGATAACAAATAATCCAGTTGAGTTTCTGCAGAAGCTTAGGTACATCAAGGCATTTACATGACTTGACATTTTGTCAAAAATAAAGCAGGACAATTTGCTAATATGTTTTAATATAGCTCAAGGCACTTGGCAATCGCAATACACAACAGGGTAATCACAAAATAGTATTTTGTCAGTATCATGCAGCCCTATTACCAAATGGCCCCTATTCCAAATTTTTTCTTGTATGTTATTTTCCCCTGAGGTCCACTTACGATGGTTGGGTGGTTTTATGTACCAAAAACAGCCCTAATTATTTTTTACATGATCATTTTTTAACCTTTCTTTATCTCATAGAATTAAACAGGCTGTTTTTGTTACTGTGCGTTCCGGACTGAAATAAGATAAATGACCTCTGTTTTGATTGGCTGGCCTGTATTATGCCTCATTCGTGAAGAATCCAGAGCTGAAACACTACCTAGAATATTAATGTGAATGAATAGGGCTAAACATTGTAGGTGGATATATGTAAATGTGTTGGTTCTCATGACATCACAGAAATAATCCATTCAAAACAGGCTGCTTTTGCAACATAGTTTCCATGTATGAACCATATGGACAAAGTACTGAATAGTATATTTTGAAACTTTAACAATGTTAACATATCTCTTCAAATTCCTTTATTTCCCAAAATAAGAGAAATTTGTTTTTTTTCATGAAATGGGCTCTACAAAGCAAAAGCTAGACTTCATTGCAAGGAAGATCTGTTAATTAAACATTAAATTAACATGTGCTGTAAAATACACGCAAAGGATCACCAAATAACTGTTTTATAACAAAAACCATTGCAGATATATTCTTACTTCACTGAAAAGTACAAATTTCAAAACGAGACAAGCTGTCCCCGAACATCTGACTCACCTCCCTGACTCTGTAGACCCAGAGGAGATGGTGAGAGCCGTGTTTCTGATACGGCTTTGAAAGTCCTCCTCTCCTGCCCTGGGGCCTGGGGGAGACTGCTGACTCTCCTCCACCTCTGTGGCCTCCTGCAGGCCTGTGCACAGGTCCACAGCCACAGTGACCCCTGTAGCAAACTGCTCCAGAAAGCTAAGTAGCCTTACACAGTCCTGCAGGCAGGGGTGAAGAATATGACAATATGATGTCATTATCACGATAAATTACTTCACAATAAGCTTTTCTGAGCATTTACTAGGTCTCATTAGCAACACCGACCAACTTCATGTTTTGTTTTTTTTTTTTTAATTATTGGGAGGCTCCCAAGTGGCATAGCTATTTAAGGTTTCACTCTTTTGTCTGGATGAATCTGAATATCAACAATTCCAGGAATCCAAGAGAGAAAAGTAGTCCTGCTCAACTGAATGGAGCGCCACGCAGTATTTGCGATACTGTAAACGTTTTCAAGTATCGTGACAATAGGTATTTGCCATTTTTCCCAGTCCTACCTGCAGGGGTACGGGAAGAAGGGGTCTGGAGCTTTCAGCTGCCTCTACAAACTGCTGGAAGGTCTTGTGGCATGATTGAGAGTCTGTGCCCATGTCTGCTTCCATCAGCACCCCGCTACGGAAACAGCCCAGCTGCAGCAGTGCCTCGGCCAGCTTCTCATAGTGGCCGGTGATGTGGAAGAAGTGGGCATTGACAGGATGCAGATGGACGGCCAGAGCGATGGTGTGGAGGGCGAGAAGCAGCAGCTCCATCAGGTTGCCATGGCTGAGAGAGGCCCACACCCCCAGTGGCTGCTCCAGCAGAGCCCCTTCCATGTCCACCACCATGGAGAGCAAACCGTTAAAGCCGCCCGCTGTGCGGAAAGCATTCCAGCTGTTTGGGTTGTCCAGCACTTTCAGGATAGACTGAGGATGGGAAAGATGAGTATATCAATAAAAAAAAATGTTGCAGTTTCACAATTACATCAGCTGTGATCATCAATATCTGGTTTAAGTACTTTAAGGTTTCTCCTGGTCAGTCCATGGCAAAACTGGAGATGTGTGGAAAATGCACCGATAAATTATATATCACTCTAAAAGAGGGGGGCTGTGGAGTGAGGTTCGAGTTTCATGGGGCTTCACAGAAATTGGTTTAGCCTTTATTCAGTTTACCACACTAATATATCAAAGAGCTAATGTGTCATAAAATGAAGCCCAAAACTAATTAGGACCAATAGAAGTAATCAGAATAGCTTTGACATATTTCACACAGTGGTCGGGGTGAATCCAATTGCTACCTGCCTTAACCCAGTTACAGTGTAATAGTCTGCAAGTTAGTATTCTTGTACTTGTATCTAAAAAATGGACATGTACAGTAAGTAGCTAATTTAGTTACATATAATTAGATTTCTTTCACATTCACTGATCTGATATTGCTCATAATTTCCGTCGTGTCACACCACCAGGCTGCGATCCTAATCAAATCGAGCCCGAGTTAACAGCTAAACGTATATTAGCAAATCAATCTGAATTTGGCTGTAATGTGATCAGACTCCCAAAGGCTAGGATAATAAATTCAAACACTTATTATGCTTTAAACTTGTTATAATTTGTTAGAATTAGAAATAAAAACAGAATCTGGAGGTAGCCCCCCAAACTTTGAGCTCAATTCAGGGTGCAGCCACTCCCCTTCACAACTGGTCTATTTTCTCCACATGTGAGCATAAACAAAGAGAAAGAGAGCAGAGTGAGAGGGAGATAGTAGAGGTAATGCTTAAAGACAGAACTAGAACAGATAACAAGAATGACACATAAGTGATTGAGGGATAAACAAGGAAGGAGAAAAGGAACGGAGGATACAGAGGAAGAAACATGACATACCTGCAGCAGATCCAGTTTGAGTCGCAGTTCAGTCTCAGTTGAGGAGCAGAGGGCTCCTATAGCTGTGCTCATGTACTCCTCTGGGTTCATCTCAGACAACTGCTCCAGTATACAGAGAGCCGGACTGCGGAACTGCTCATCATCCAGGAAGATCTTTACATAGGGAATCATCCCCAAGTCCCTTATAAACGCTAATACAATCAAGAGAGAAACCAATGGCTATACTCTTAATTTAATCTATGTATTTTATTATGTGTTGCTAATTCTCAACATTACTTTGGCTCTCATCTCCTACTTCAGTCCACTGCTGCCTCATGAACTAAGCAAACAATTCACCATATTCCAATAACAAAATCTTGCAAATGTGATTATAAAGTGTGGAACTATGTAATTTTCAGTACGTCACCGATACGCTACTAACGAGACTGTTCAGTTTAATCACCCTTCAAAACAGTTTTGTTACACTGAGATTAATAACTGGTCATCACAATGGTTTTAGTCTTCTTAGGCTTTAGCAGGAATTTATAGTTTATAAAGAAGTAATGTTGGAGTTATTCATTAGAGTAAGTCTATCCACACCGTGCACTGATTTAAAATAATTAATAAATAAGCATAGATGGTATTTCTTCCACACACACACACACACACACACACACACACGTTTACATTTTTACATTTTTTGGGTAAGTATTCCAAAAGTATTCTCCTAAAAATGTAAAAAGTAAGAGTGTTCTGAATACTGTCTTTTTAAAATGCAACTTGGACTGAATACACATTCACATACTTGTATTCTGTCACCTCCCAACATTGTCCGTACTATGCAGAAGTTTTGATTACAGCGGAAACTGTGATTTGAGACTTAAAACTGAAAAACTTTCTTTAACTTTGGTTTGTACATACAATATAAACCCCCCTTGATAAAACAGAATTTCACAGATTTCTCAAAATGTCTGCATAATGTAAACAATTCAGAGTGGTTTGATGTTGAATGCCCCTTTTTAGAGAAACCTAGAACTGTTCACAGTTGTGGTGATAGGAACCAGCTGTCCCTCATACCTCCCTCACTCAAAGTTATTACATGAAATGGTTATGTATAAGCTGCCTGATGCATGACACATTGTTTTATGATGGTTTTGAGAAGATTTTGATCTAAAACTTTTGTTTAAATGCATTTATGGCAGATAGGGTACAAGCAGGGCATTGTAAGGCAAAATATTCCCCAAAGAAAGGGAATTTTTCAGATTTATCACTATTTTTCCATTATCAACATTACATGTAAAAACTCAGAAGACACACACAGGTTCACTAGCAGTTTTGGATTGTAAGTGAAATGGCTATATTTGTGTAGCAGACATCGACCCCTCATTCCTATCATCACCACTGTAAAGAAATCAGTGAGTCAGTAAGCTTCTCTACAGTGAACCATTTTTCACATCAAACAACTTTGAAAGGAAAGTACTTATGTATACCTGTATTTCTGATGGACCTCAGTGCCAGAGCTGCAACTACACTTAACATGTTGGTGGTGAGTTGCCTCTCACAGTCCTCCACTCTCAGCTCATCCTTACTTGCTGCATAAGAAAGAAATCTCAGGTCAGCACTGTGGATTTCAATATTTGTACACATTAAATCTTTAAACCCTGGAAGTTGGTTTCCCAGAGAGAAAACCAACTCCTGGTTTCCCAGAGTTGGTAATCCCAGAGATTAAGACTAAGACTACATGTACTACACAGCACTCTGAATGGAGATTCTCAACTAAAAGAAAACCATAGTTTCAGCAATTGCAATGAATAATTCAGTTAGTACTATGACACTAAGATGTAAGGCAGGAGTTTTTATTTAATCGGTGTGAGATCTGGGTTGTAAATCTCTGACCTTACAATGCTTTGATTACAAATCAATAACTGATGGAAATAATTCAGTGCACTTTATTGCTGTTTAAAATACACTGAAGGAACAAATGTGGATAAGGGATTAAGATTTTCACATTTGAAAACAGCTTGAGAACTTTATTTTGGTAAAAAAAAATGAGAGCACCCTGTACTGATTATTACTATAACTGATTATAGGGATTAACCAACATGGGAATTCTAATACATTATTATACGCCTGGTTCAAACTAAACTCTGTAGGATAGTAGATCTAAAGGACTTGAGTTGGACACCCCTGACGTGAGTAGTTATGAGAGTGAGGAAGGCAAGTCTGGATCCACTGATGGGTCCCTTAGGTTTAAGAGGTTAAACCACACAAATTAATGCACTCATTGGTTTCACCTGTAATGCCAGCTTTCCTCAGAATCTTAGCTCTCCTTCTGAGCTCCACCAGCAGCAGCTCCATCAGGCCACCATCAATCAGCACTTCAGACAGCAGGCTGCTACGCATCACCAGGCCATGGAAGCACTCCAGAGCAGCCATGCTGAAGGCCTGTGAGGAGCCCTCCTTTAGCATGGCCTGCACCTTCCTCAGTGTATCATGAGGAATGTATGACAGCTGGAAGACCACCATTTCAAGCAGCTCAAAGAAGAGGCTGTGGACAGTGGCAGGCTTCTGCCACACACACTCAGCCAGCTGGGCCAGACACTGCAGTGTCCACTCCAAAAGGAAGAAGTTGGCCTTGTCCCATGACCAGATCGTCTGCACTGTGCGAAGGATCTGACTGCAGATCAGTGCGCTGCCTGAACGCAGGAAGGAGGACTGGATGATTTGAAAAGCTCTGAGGTTCTTCACTGCAGAGCCTGCAGAACAAAATTACAGAGTTCTAGAATTCAGTTATTAAATCTGAGGCTGAATAAGCAAAACAGATCATGCAAAGTTGCTTCGTTTTTATTCAGGAAAGTGACAAAGAACATGGCACAATGTAACACTCATATATTACTATAATGTCATGTTCCTTTGAAATTTTCAAAACATATGTGGCTTCCAATTTTATTCTTGCAATGTCGGAAAGTGATTTACATCAATGGTGAGCATGCCATGACATTACAAACACTCTGGGGCTCCCATACATGAGAAACTCTGCATTTAAATCAAGTTACTTTCTCGCAGATTGATTGAAACTATGTTATTCGGTGTGCGTGAATAAGTGCAAACGTTGTAGCAACCCATATACACAACCAAATATGTGTATAACCCTGTCAAAAGATTAAAAAAGACTGTTGGGTCCCTGGACAAAAATGCACTGATGTTTAGAGTAAATAAATATATAAGTGGAGGGTAATGCGATTGAATTTCACCCTTAATTAAAATCACATCAGAGCCAAATGGAATCAAGCTAAAAAAGGGCCATGTTTGCCTCTCTCTGGAGTGAGGTGCTCTGCTTGGTGATGAATGGTGGACTCTGATACAGATGAGGAGAATAGATGCAGGGCATCTTAAGTGGGTTAGTGAGGAGGGCTACACTTCATCATCTTGGACATAATTGCCTTTGCCTTGTCGTTAACATGAGGTGGTGGCGGGGAGATGCAGCGAGGTGTTCAGCATCTGCGGTGCATCCGTCCGTACCTTTGGTCAGGTCTGGATCGAACTTGAAGCCTGGTGGCTGGGGGTTGTTCACACA